GAGCGACCGCGTCCTGCCTCTTCGACATCCAGAACGTCGGTGTGCCTGCCATTTTAGTGATGATCCCCATGGTCGAACGTCCCGTGTCGAGATCCATCCCTAAATCGGTGTCAACGTAGGTCACTGGCGTCATTCCGTCCTTGGTGTCCTTCCGGTAGGTAATCCCCATATCCAGAGTGCCCTTGACGTATCCCAGCACATGCATTAGTGCCTTCCAGTGACTCGGTCCTGGGTCACGAGAGTAGCGGCTGAGTACATTCACCGAGTAAGCCATATCTGGTCGTGTTGCACCTACGGCGAATTGAAGTCCTCCGACGATAACATCATACGGTTTATCCTTCATGAACTCTCGTTGGGCTTGAGTCGAAGGCGCTCCTTGTTTGGACAGGCGGGTTCCCAGGGCGAAGGGAGTCGACTTTGGCTTGATATGGGAGAATCCGTGACGCTCTAGCAATCGTTCTAGGTATCCTCTCATCGAGAGTGTAGCTGTTCCTTTCTCCCTATCATGTTCCAGTCTCATCCCCAGTGAGAATTCCACTTCGTCTGTAACCTTGATTGCATACTTGTCCCCAAGTTCCTTTTTCGCTCTCTCTGCTTCTTCCAGCGATGACGATCCTCCGGCAATATCGTCGGTGTATGTTCCAGTGTGAGTTTCTCCAGACTCATCTCTTCACGAGCGTACACATTGGTCTGCTTCTGATCGAACATAGTCCAGGTCGGCATATGCTGCATCTAGTTCTCTCCACCAGTTATTCCCCGCTTGCACCGCACCATAGAGGGACCGCCATAAACGCACGACGGTAGGTGAGGAGTCCGTTCCCTGGAAACCTTTCGGGAGCCTGACATAGAGTTCTTCCTCCATTTTCACATTAAGGTATGCCGACTTGAAGTCAACCTGCCAGATGACGAACCCAAGCATAACCCATACTGCGAGCAACATTCTCAGTGACTCCAGCCGCATGACACCTGCGTATTTCTTGTAGAAGTCTCTCCCCTCGACCTGGTGCTGACCCTGAACCACTAGACGAGCCTTCTCCCCTACAATCTCCCCGAGGCCATTAAACTTATGGGCATAGACCCATTTGACACCTAGGATCGTCGCACTCTTCGGAGAGTCGCACGAAGGTCCGAATACTTCGAAAGCCTTCATACGTGCCATTTCTTCGTCCATAGCAGGTTGCCACCGGTCTGGATCCCTCATAGCCTCAGCATATGTCGCAGAAACAGGAGGAAGGCCGACTGCGGTCAACGCCACATTGTCAGCTGCATCCATATAGTTCACGCTCTCTGGGAGAAACTTGAAAGGGTTCGTTTCCGCAAGGGTCATCTTCGCCTGCGCGTGAACCCGTTTTGCTGGCAAGTCGTTCGCCCAAGGGTCTCCTAATTCCGCAGCACGCTTTTCCCTCTCCTGGTATTCCACCGACTGCTGACCCATCTTGGACGGGACAATACGAGTTGATCGTCTGACTGGTTCAGTGACCACGTCAGGGTCTTTACGCGCTTTCCGTTTTATCACAGGCTGAGTCGCTGGCGCGAGTAGCTCAGGGTCCACGCCCTCACTCTCTTGATCATGATCGACTGGCGCCGCCGGGACCTCGTCATCTACTCGATCCTCGCGCGGAATCAAATCTGGTTCGCCTTCGAAGACGTCGTTTACGATTCTGGTCCTATCCGTAGGTTGGCCCAACGTTTCGTCGAACACAACATCACGGCTTCGGACAATGCGCCCGTCGTTGAGGTACAGCCAGTATACCCCTCTCTCATCATAGCCAACCATTCGCCCCTCGACCACCTGATCGTCCAATTTCCCGGGCTTTCCATCTACAACCTTTGCATATCCTCGGCACCCAAATGGACGTAGATGTCCTACGGATTGACGTTTACCACGAAAGGTTTCGGCGGGAATTGTTCCAGGATATCTGGATGAAGGAAGAAGATTATCAGTGTAGACGACGTACTCTGCCGTCCAGCACCAAAGCGACGTAGGGAGTTTCGAGTCGAACAGTATCGTGCGAACACGGGAGTAGATTGACCTATGGCGTCTCTCTGCGACACCATTTGCGGCGGAAGAGTGGGCTGGAATGATCTCTATAATGATCCCATGCTTCTCCCCCCACGCATGCCAGAGTGCATTGTCAAATTCACCCCCTCCATCCACCCGAACCACTTTCAGCTTCTTTCCCGTCTGCCTCTCGCATTCGACACGGTAATTCTCCATTGCCTTCAGGGTAGTTTCCGCTGACTTGTCCTTTAGGTAATATTGTTTCGTGAACGAAGTCCCATCGTCAACTATTGGCATAGAGTATAGGAAACCACCACGACCTTGAACTCGCATTGGACCGCATAAATCTGTGTGAACACGAGCAAGAGGTTCTGTGCTTGGGACAACGTCTGCGTCAAATGGCCTTCGTGTTCCTTTCCCATGGACGCATGGCACGCACTTCTCTTCTGAGCTGGCACCTTCAACTCTCCCACCATCGACAAGGCTCTTGTTGAAAGACTCCCGTATCCTATCGATCCCCGCGTGTCCATACCTTCGATGCCAGGTATCCATATTCACCGGCTTCTCCAGCGACCGTGCAACATTCGCCGCAGGAGGGTCCTTCACGTCAAACACGTACAGCCCACTGCGTTTTGTGGCCGTCAGGATCAATTTCTCTTTGCCGTCGTATACATGCGCCGTTCCTTTGGAGAAAAGAATTGACAGCCCTTTCCCGTCGAGTTTGGATACTGATATGAGGTCCGATGTGACGTCTGGCGTATGGAGAGCATCAAATGTAATCGTTCGCTCCTCCCCGTTCACTATGAAGGTCTTTGTCGCTCTTCCCCTTCCTACTATCGTAAACTTGGACCCCTTCTTCGAGCCACTTCCTTGGTATGGGGGTACAGCTTCGTACGTGATGAACGATTCACGGGAGGTAATGAAGTGATCTGTTGCTCCAGAATCCAGTACCGTCTGTACGAACTCCTTCGCCTCAATGATGCCAATCGTAGCATTGAGCAATTGAATCCTTTGGTCGTTTGGTACGTTTTCCCATTTCTCAGAAGTCCCCGCCCAAATTTCATCAAAGTCGTCCTCCGACCACTTCATTGGGCTAACGTCAATCATATATTCTACCTCCTCAGGGTCCTCCAGGCAGTCAGGGATGTCGAATGGATTTCCATCCAACTCGAGCCCACCATTAGGAACCGAACTCCCCAGGTCGTCCGTGTTTGCGGATGCGGAGAATGCATAATGCTGCGACAGCGATCCAACGGCCAGATTCGACGAAGACGACGATCCACCGTCTGGATTGTTTCCATCATGCTTTCCCCTCCACCAGTCTGGCCACTGCCCCGCTTTACCTCCGCCGTCGCGGAAACAGTCTTCGGCTAGGTGACCCCTTTTCTTGCAGTTCGTACAGGACTTGTCCGACTTATCCTCCTTTTTCTTTTTGTTGCCAGATTTAAGTCGTGCGATCTCGGCTTGCAACGCTTGAATCGTCGATGTACTGGCGTCTGCTTGGAGGAGCTGCTGTGGCTTCGCGGCAATGGCTGTCTTTCTGTTCTCCACCTGAGAGTAATAGAACTCGATTTGTTCCATTAAATCGCTCGGCACGGTGAAGGAAGCGAGTCCTTGGACAAGCATGTCGAACTCAGCGCCAGGTAGCGAACTGATGATAGTCGAGCGAAAGTCTGTGTCTGTGTATCGATTCCCGAAATCCATTGCTTCCTTTCGCTTAACTCTCAGTCCAATAAAGAATTCTGCTAACTTCTGGCCGCTGTTAGGGTCAAATCGCATGCCCTTGAATGCCGTGTCCGCGAAATTCTTCCTCATCTCGTCCTGACGAATGTACGTCTTCGTCAATTCTGCCCATATCTCCGCTGACGATTTCTCCCCTGGAAAGTCTACCAGAGAGTCGAGGTCGAATACATTCATTGCGATGGTCGACTTCATTTTCTCATCACGATACATCCATTCCTCAAGCGATGGATGAAGAGAATAAGGGGGTGTGGGCGCAGGTGTAGATGGGGGTGTCCCAGGAATTGCGACCATAGTAGGATCAACCGCTCTTCCTGCAGTGGTCGCCGCGGTCGTTGCAGCTTCAGGTTTTAGGATATGACCGTTAAGATACCCTTTCAGTCCCCATTGGCCTGCGACAGCCTCCAGTTTGACTTTAAAGGGGTTGAACGCTCGAATGCCGTCGAACTTCTCGTCCGATGGCAACTCCCAAATCGTATTGTTGATGACACTTGACATCGTTTGACCCTTCGACGATTCCTAAGTACTTGCGAGATGCGAGAGGTAAGGGATTTCGAAGAGGGGTTATATTATCTCCTAGTATTTTCTTGAGCTTTAACCGAGCAGCCTGGGTGCAGATGAACAGAGCGATATCTATGCGAAGTTCAAATGCTTCTAGGCAGGGCCCATAACCTGTAGAACGAGCAGTAAGTACGATGCAAGTTCTCAGCTCTGGACAATATAGTCGAAGCTCAATATATTCTGTGCTGACCTGTAGAACGAGCAGTAAGTACGATGCGAGTTCTACAGTAAATATAAGTAGTGAGTTTCATAGTTATTACCGGGCATATCGTGGAATTAACATACCTCAGCTCTGGACAATATAGTCGAAGCTGAGGTACTGGAAAGGGGTTCGAACGTATTTATACGGACTGATCGATCGGAAAGGAAAGTAAGCTACCGAAAAAGGAATAGGTAAAAGGCGCTTAGGCCTTAACACTCGTGGTGCTTGATCCTCGTTCTTAACATCTCTCCCGAGTCTCTCAACTCCACCTTCAGAGCGTTTACTGTTGGTAATTCCCTTGGAGAAAATTCAATCTTTGTGCTTTCATCCAGCAAAATGGCTGCGATTCGTTGGCTGGACCATTTTCCATGTTCCCGAGGGTTACCTCTCCAGCGACCCTGATGGTAGAGAGCGTCTAACCGATGAAAGCCAACTCACGGATGAGGAGTTCATTTTTTACCAAGCACCTGGTACAGTCAACTCATTTGATGAGCAATGATCTTGTCTGATGGTGAAGTAGGGTTTAACCAGAGTGCTGTTGTTGACATGCGTGTCGCTGCTGCTCGTCGTACAGCATCTTGCACATCGGCGACCACGGCAAATCGGAGGGACACTGATTTTCGGGAAAAGATTCAACGCCGTGACGAGATGTGTGTTTTCACCTCCTGGGATGGACAGGCCTGTCATATAATACCTCACTCCCGCGGAGACCAGGTGAGTTATTTCACGTATGGCGTCATGGGAATCGCCCACCAATTTTGTGACTCAGCAGATACAAATGCTTTCAGAGGAGCGCTTGATTTTACCCTCAATTCAAGATATCGGCGACCTCCGAAATGGCATCATGTTATGTGACACCCTCCATGGCTTTTTTGACAAAAGGCTCGTTGCGGTTTTGGTTGTACGTCTTTCGTTCACCGTCATCACTACTTCTTGTCGTCACTGACATACTTTACAGACTCCCAATGCCATTTTAGCCCGGGAAGATGTTCCCCAGGCGGATCATCCTTGTAACCCTGCGGACCTTCGCCCTGCGCTCCTCGATATGCGGTATACTTTGCAAATCATTAATCTCAATGATAGCAAGTTACACCGACTGGAACATAATTATGCACCCAATAACCGAGATGCTAAATTCAAGGATGCCAGGCCGACATCACTGCCAGAGGCTTCCCTTCTCCATTACCTGTACGGCGCCGCCATCCTGACAGCCTTTGGCCGTTCGGGGGTCGTAGCTTGGCAAGCGTCCGGCAATTGGAGAACACCCCGGAAACAATCCTACCCTGCCACGAGATCTTTCAACGCGCGGACCTTAGAAAATTGTACATTGACCCGAGCGAAGCGCGAGGGAACATCGCCTTACTCCTCAGAGTCCAAATTGGCAGGTGGTCATCGCATAACAGCCGATGAGGCCCTGGACTACATGTCCAACATCACGTCAAGGCAGCTGGCTTACCGGGAGCAAGCCCAGTGGGCTCAACACAAGCTTGAGATTGACGCATGGGTCAGTGGATGTGCAGAAGGCAATCCTGGGCGTACCAAGCAGGGTAAACGGAAGGGCGGTTCCAGAAAATAAGTCCTATCCACTGAGTCCCGGCCTTATGCAGGGTTAGTTCGGCTCAAAACTTATACTTTCCGCCTATCCTCCTCCGTTTTTAACCTCATCATATCACTTATTAGCCGTAATGTCTTACAACTGTTATAAATACATATATGTCCCTACCAAACTACTAGGTTAGAGAGCCATACTGCCTAGCATGAGAGCGTTAGAGCTCACGAACGCGAGCTCTAACGCAATCCCGCCCCTTCTCATGGCTGAAACCCTTACTGATTCACCTAAATCGGGCAACTTCTACCAGTTAGAGCCTTCAGAGATTGAGCTTATAAGCCTCGAGCTTCCAATTTGTATATATTTCCAATGAAACTCATATGGAGGGAGAGAGCCTGAGGGGAGCATGGTGGGCGCGTTATGGGCCGTTTCTTCGTCGTTGCCGTCTGCATCGTCCTCGTCGATGTCGTGGTGCGCAGTTGAGAGGCTGGTGGTCCGAAGGCGGCTCAGTCCGAAACGGATCGGACTTTGATCGAGCACGTGGCACTGGTTCGAGCGCCACAGTGCGGGGCAGCGGGCTCTTGTCCCTACACCCTCCCATGCACTCTCCAGAACGTTCCCCTACGCTCGCCATCGCCCGTAGACTCCACCAACTCAACGTAACTCCACAATGCCGACGGGGGAGCGCCTCATTTTTGGACGGTGAAGATTGACGCATTAGCGCGTCACGCAGGGACGGCGATTCAAAAAGTTCGAGAGGGGAATAGCAAGCGGATGAGGGGTTGAGTACTTGCGGTGCGATAAGTAGAAAGGAGAGTGCGACGACGGAAGCAACGGCAGCCACCTGCACGTCATGGCATGCTAGAGGCCCAGAGCTGTATCATGATCAACGAGGTGCGTCAGCCTCACGCATCGTGTGCACGAAGACGGTGAACTCACCCTCTTCCCTCTTTGCAGACGGCATCTCCGTCGACGACGGGTGCAGACACCTGCACACTCATCATCTCCCATCTCCCCGTCTCCGGTCGCCTACAACCCACCCAACCCGCTCGCTCGAACAGTCGCACAGCGCATGTGCGCTCGGGATATCGAGACCGAGAGCGATGCCATCGTCGACGAACAGGGCTCCTATTACCTCCAACTACCAATGCCATTGTCGACGAACGGGGCTCCCACTACGCATCTGGGGCGCTGACAAGAGACAGATGTAGATGGCGCCGTCAGTAAACAAGACACGACACGCCACGCCGCGCTGGCCGGGATGGAGACGGCTTACGACGCCAATGGTAATGGCAATGGGAGGAATACCGAAGCATTCTGACCCTACTGTAGACAACGGCGATAATACCCCTGCTATCTCGTCGCCAGTATGGCATACACCGGAAACCAGTTCTACTCAACCCATCGTCGCCCAGCCCGTGGCTCCTCGTTCTCGGATATTGTCAGCGTCAAGATCACCTCTACTGCCTCTAGCAAAGTCGCCTTCTCCACCGTAGTCTTATGCCCCTTCACCACAACCGTCATATGCTACACCATCACATATCCACCCTCTTCGCATACTCCTGCGTCCCTTCAGCCACAGCCACCACGAAACCAGTGAGGAAGTACTGTTGAGAGTATCATGGCAGCGTTGACGGAGGGTATCTCGCCGCTTCTGGCGAGGTATTTTGGCACCATCGAGCTATATGGACGTTGAGGTCTCACCGTGGCCGCATGGTGGCATTTGAGGGTTAAAAGATGCATGGGTGTGAGGTTCAACTTGCGCATGCTGGCCCCATTGTCGGCGAATGGAGCACGGGGGTACGGAGCCGTTCTATGGGTGCATGTCCGACGGAAAGAGAACTTCTGACGGCTGCGATGGGAGGAGGTCGCATTGCACCAGGGCGCGCAGCTCTGTAGTACAAGTTCAATGGCGATGACTGAGTAGGTGGGCGACATTTGTTGCGCCTAGGGAGAAAGTGAGATGGGGAGGATCGAGACAGCATGTCGACACAGACCAAGTACGTCCTCCTTACGCGCCACGACGAGCAAATGCGAACTTACCGCATAGTTCAAACACCCAGCCAATTCTGTCCTGGTACCACCATCTATTCCTGTTTGCTTTGCTCCACATCCATAGAGCCGCCCACTACGATGCCAACCGCAGCGGTGGCAATCACACGTCTTTGAGGACTTGACCCGTCGGGAGCAGCGAGGCCAATTCAGTGTAGACCGCAGCCCGATAACACAAACAGGAGCGACATCGATAGGGCCGCCAAGACGACGTCGCCAGACCTGCACGATTTCAGTGGCGGCAATATGAACAAGGCCACGATGCGTACGAGCGCTGCTTCCCAGCAGAAGATGGGAGTAGGCAGAAATTGACGACTTCGTATTCAACGGCCAGGAAGCAGCTGTATCGAAAGCGGCGCCATTCCACCGTCAAACTCTGAAAACGTTATGGCGGCGGCGTTAACAAGGATGGACCTGGATGCAAGATGGTTAGTCGAAACACGAACACGACGAAGAAGGGCAACGAACCTTGGAGCCCAAGTCGAGCGTCACGCACTCGAGGCTGCTCCTCAACGCCACCCTCAACGTCGAGGACATCGATTCGCTCGGCGCAAGGCATCGGGACCCAGAGGCAATCTGTAGTATTCAAGTTAAGTCACCTCCACGGTTAGATAGAACTGACACACCATTAAATTGACTTACAGGCAGTGTGCTTGGCTCTTCGACGCCGGTGGCTTGACGAGTGCGCTAAGGCAGACGAAGGGGCGGGCATTACGGGGTAGATGAGCATGAGCAACTCGTGTCGTTCATGCGTTAGCTAGCGATTGCCTGTTCAAGACGCTGTTTCCGAGCTACTGGTGACGCTCCTCACTCATCCCAGCCACTCCGTTCGTGTCAACGCTTCCTGGGCACTGAGGTGCTTCTGCTACTCAACCCCGCTCTATTTACCACGAACCATTCTCGGCGTCACCGACATGCTTCAAAGAGACCTCACCTCCATTCTGTCGCTGGCGGCTCCTTCGGATATCAAATCGCGAGCATTAGGGCATGCGTACGGACTTGCAGCGCTCGTATCCATCGTCAAAGAAAGGCCGCTTTACGTATCGTACAATATTTCTGCTAAGATAGATAGTGGGGAGAACCGAAACATGGTGTTAGAAACTCGTAGCCAGTGTGGCTACGGTAGAAAAATTTTCAGACTCTGGCTACACTTCATAATAGGTGCACGTAGCCAAATCGGGGGGCCACTGCGCCAAATTCGACGGCACTCGTTGCGTTGAAGTCCGAGTTCTAGACGCCCGACGACGGAACGGGACGGAGTTTTAACTGGGCGCTTGAGTATACATGTATACCCAAGCGCCGGCGACCGAGTCCGTCGCCGCCCCCACATGCATGTGCCTCGCAGAATTGCATTACGGGTCCTGTAATGTAATGAAATGAAATGAAAGGATCCGTTTTACTCCTGGGGAATCGATGGGCGCTTGCACAAGAGGGTGGGTACTTACTTACCCGGTAGCCGGTCCATCGGCTAACAAATCAAGTGCTCAGTCTGCTCGTGAGAATATGTACGGTTCACATGGGCCGCGCGTGCCTCTGTTGCTGTTCTCGTCCTTGCTTCATCTCAACGCGCGTTGGGCGACCGCCTGGCGGCGCGCGTGGTTCTCGACGACGCTCTGAGGCTTCGAGGGTACGATGGGCGATAGAAGCGCCTGGGATGGTGGAATGTCGACCTTCGCAATGAACGGAAAGGGAATTTGGGCTTTGGGGGATAAGCGCGTCGATGTATGTGCCCTTTTTTCGTCTCTGTGTACATGGGTAACCGTAGGCTCCGAATCCAGGAGGATGCCTAGCAATGTGTTCCCGTACGGCTCCCAGCGATCGGTGCTGCATATCGGACATTGGATCTGTATAGTGTATCCTCTAGTTTTTTTAATGGCTTCTCTCCCCGTCCTGCAAGATTTGTATTCACTGCTCGGACCGAACCTCTCCATACTACTTGCGCGCGCTCGACGTGTATAAAACCCCAGCCAGTTTTTTTGGTGCTTTCGACTCGGCGCTCCTGTCTCTCGTTTATTTGACTTGTCCGACGCCTCTCGAAACACCCTTCCGACATGCAAAACTGGCCGTCCAACCTCCTTGCCGAGCAGCGGCTTCGTCACGTCCTTCTCGACGAACGACAGCTTCGTCAGGTGCAGTTCGTGTCGAGCAACATATTGATCGAGGCGTATGCTGAAGGAACCCTCTGGTGCGTGGCTAAAATGTGGATACTGCTTTGCTGACTGACTCTCGCAGCACGATGAACGACAATGTTCTCAGACGTCGTGCTGAGGTCCACCTTGGGTGGTCGCCCAACACCCTTGACTCTGCGCAAGCACGCTTCGTTGTCTCACAGGTTCGACACGTCATATTGGTGAGTTCTCTGTTCGTGTCCTCCTTCTCTCGCTTACCCGATCTCGTTTACGCGCAGTTGCGCCTCAACGAAGCTGCCGCGTCGACCGTTGTCCGGTACACCGTTCTGGGCGTTGCCCTTGGTGAGTGGGCCCTTCAATCTTGTGACGTGCTCTCACTCTGAGGTTCTCTTACAGAGTCCATCCGCCACTACTTGCATTCCTGAGCAGCTTCGCTTGTGTCTTTATTCGCAAAGGCTACCTAGCTATCTTTACCTGCGTCTGTACTCTTGTCCGTACCTACAAATATTGATCAGCCCTCCATGGGCATGTCTCCCGCCTGCTGGTCTGCTCCTGGCCCAAAGCCCTCAGCCTGTGCATTGCCGTCGCTGTCGTTATTGTGGTCGATCCTGGCATATGAGTAGAGGTCGGCGGCGGCAGTCTGGCTCATCCCTGCACAGCCATTCCCATCTGTGTTGGCATTTGCGAGAGCTCTGTCGTACGGCTTGTGGGGGCCGCTCTTCCTTGCATCGAAGCCGCTCATGTACGGGTTGCGGCGCTTCAGACGCTTCGGCACTGCGGTGGGTGCAATGGCAATCAAGGTTCTGGCGGTAGTTGCGTCCTTTGGTCCCGGTATCCCGGTTGTTAGTATGTGCTGAAACCCGGGCTTGCCTTGGCTTACCGTGGTGAACTCGCCGTTGAGCAACATGACGCTCCTCAGTATCAGCTTCACCGTGAAGCTTCCTTTCGTCGGGATACACGTCATCGACGCCTGGAGCTCGACGATATCCCCGGATTGGAAAATTACGGGCGTGGTTGGTAGGTACCTGGTCCCTCCGTCTGCGTCTCTTGCCACGTAGTAATCCACGGCGTTGTCCTCGCCGGGCAGCGCGGAGATCTTATAGCTACTGGGTAGCCGCCGTTCCCACTGCGGGCGAAACCTTCAGAGAGTGCGGATTGTAACCGGAGTCGTTTGCTTAACGTTGGACGAATCATCGGAGTGATTGGAATCGTCTATTTCGTCTATGCTAAGACAAGCAAATCGGTTATTCACCAACGAGGTCGCACTGATCACTCGTTGGTCCGGACAAAATCCGCCGTGTCCAATTCCTCAACCTGGGCCGTTCCCTCATCGTCTATTCCTTCCGAGGTCCCCGCAGTTTCTACAACATCGGCCGCGGTCAGGAGATCTTCGATGGCGGACATCCGCTCCTCGGTGGTCATGAACCGGACGTCGTACCGGAGTGGGCACTCCCGGGACATGTGACCGGGTTTGCCGCATCGGTAGCAGAGCTGCGAAGCGGCGGGCCGGGAGCGGGTGTGGTCGACGTCCATGGGGACGCCGGGTGAGAGAGCCTTCGGAGGAGGCAGAGGTTGGAAGCGGGGTTGCAGAGGCGGGAGCTGAGTCCGAGGTGCAGGGAGTACACCCGCAGGAGTCCGAGCGACTCCGGAGCTGGCTGCTGGTCGGACGAGGGATCCGGAGTGTCCGGAGTTTCCGGAGTGCACGCCAAAGTGGAAGGATTGGTTAGCAGCACGGTTGTCAGCAACCCGCTGTGCTGCCTTGTACCATTCCTCGAAGTCATCCTCGTCCGGACAGTCTGCGGACTCGGCAACACGGCTCTGGATGATGGAGTCCAATCCGCGGCGGAACTTCATCGTGATGTTGGAGCCCTCGGAGTATCCGGACTGGTCTACAAGGTCCCGGAACTCGTCGAGGTACTCCTGGAAAGTCCGACGCCCTTAGTGGTACCGGGTGGACTCCAGTTTGAGCATGGCGGCTTCGCGTTCTGGAAGAAAGCGAGTCCGGAATTCGGTCGCGAAGGCGGCCCAGGATTCGAAGTACGGATCCTTCGGACTCTGGAGCACCATGTCCGCATATTCCTTGGCGCGATCCTTCTGGAAGAAGGAGAGACACCAGAGGATTTTGGCCTGCTCGGTCGGAAAGTGGTCCGGACAGAGCTGGAAGTAGATGGAGCACGCGTTGTAGAACGCGCGACCATCCTTGCGGTTTCCGTCGAAGATCGGGGGAGAGGCGGGCTTCAAACGGGAACGCGGGGCGATTTCGGATCGACTCGGAGCGTGCTGGGAGGCTTCGGTGCCCCTCAGCTCGGAGTCCGGAGTTGTTTTTGGAGTAGTCGGACGGGGTGTTAAGAGGAGCCCTTCGATTCGGGCGAGTGTATCCTGGATGGAAGTGATTCGGGTTTGGTGTTCGTATGTCTGAGCCCACAAGGTCTGCAAAGTCTCGGAGTCCGATCCTGAAGCGACTGGCTCGGATGGCGGGATCTGGCTGGAGGCGCCCGGCATTTCGGAGTCGTCAGGGGAGCGAGGGATGGAGTTCCTTGGGTCCTCAGAGGTGGGTGGGAGTAGCAGGAGAGCGTCCGGAATGTCCGCAAAACCGGAGAGACGTCGGGAGCGAGTCCAGAGTGGCGCAGGACGTTTTCCGTAGGGCTCTGGTGCCAGGATGGGAGATCCTGTTCTGCTGTAAGGGCAACCTCAAGATGGCCGCACAGCGCAAGCCTAGCAGAGGGAGAATCCAAAGAGATGAATAAAACTAACTACAATACATGAGAGAGCTGCCCACCTAGCAGAGGGAGAATCCAAAGAGAACAGGATGGGGATTCTCCATGCTAGGAAGCGAAGTATATACTGTAGTAGCGTGAGAGGAATGAAGGGTAACTGTACAGTACACCAGCCACAGGTACGAACGAATATCACAAGGTACGAGGGGGCATGTGATAATGAAGTAGAAGGGGAATGTACAGGAGTCGTGCCGGCGACCTGGGGAAGTGGGAATAAGGGATAACGAAGTGGGAGAAAAGGATGGAGGTAGCCCGGACGAGCCCCGATGTGTGTCTACGAGTCCGAGCGAGTCCGAAGCGTCCGAGCGGGTCTGAGGCGAGTCCGAAGCGCGGGAAGACTTCGGGGTCACCGGACGGGGCTCGGATGCGAAGGGGGTGAACGAAAGGAAAGGAAAGGGAATGAAAGAAAAGGGAAAGGAATGAAGAGGAAGGGGGCGGGGCAGGGGAAACAGGAGAAAATAGGAGTGTCCCCTTACAGTGGTGTCCTGTAGGACACATTTCTAGGTAAGTAGCATTCATTTGTATACAGTTTTGAACTCACTGTATCCATCCGGAACATTTGCGGACTGTCGGCAGTCGCAGTTCGTTCTGCGATGATTCAGTCGAGAGCCTGTACTACTTGAAGGTTAGCTCAAGCATAGGGTAGATGTCGTTCGCGGCTAGCTTACCTGCACTAACCTTGTTGTAGAAAGAGTCCATGGTTGGCTACATAACCGAACGGTTGCAGCTGCTTTTATATGCTTTTGGGTGGAAGGCGTGTAGTTGAAGTGCTTGTGGTCTGACTTGGGTCTGACGCGGGCGACCTCAACCGAGTGACGCGACCACGTGTTCAGTGGCACTTCGGTGTTTCACCTGACGAACAGTCTCCCCATTCAACGCTCCTCCCGCTCTTCTTGTCGGATGTGGTCGATCTACGGTGTGTTGTCCTTGGCGCTGTGCAGCGTGTTTCTAAGTCTGCTCATCGACTTTCTTTCCTATTGCGCGGCCTTCTTTCTTGCATGTTTCTCAGTTTTGGCTTCCATCCGCTGGCATCTCGTGCAGCAACATTCCCGCAGCTCCCATTTCTATCGTCTGTCTCTATGTCAATGGTAGTAGCTGTCTTTTTGACTGGTGAGTGTCTGCTTCTCTCCCTGCTGTCCGAGGATGACTTCATGTTCAACGACGACATGCTTGGTGTGGACTATAAGTACGGACGACGATGGGGGCGAGTTTCCCAAACAAGTCACTTCTTCTGGCCCTTTGTTTACATTCCTTGTCTCGAGCCTTCCGCTACCTCTGCTACAACATGCCTCCCAGAAACTCTAGGCGAGTGCTGATCTGCCCCTGCCGTCCACCTCACTGACGTGCAGGTCTTGCATGATCTCTAATTCACCAGTCGCGGTGCTCGCACCTCCATCAGAGCTCGAAAGGCATCCGCTGGTAAGGTGGCGAATGTCGATGCTTCCACTCCCCCTCCGTCCTCTGTGTGAGTGTCTACCTCCCTGTTCCACCGTGATCACCTACTCACAAGGCTTAAGCCCTGCGCCGGTACCGCCGACTCCTCGGGCCGCTAGGATTTCCCCGAGGAAGCGAGAGCTGCCTGCCGATGCACCTGCTGTTCAGATCAGGTTTGATTGTTCCCCGCCTTCACAAGGCCTTGGTCCTGACATTGCTAATTCACATACCTCAGTGTAAACTACTAGAGACTCCCAGACAGATAGAGAATACTCTCCCCCACACTCTCTGGGGCAGCTGGGTCCGGCTGGGATATATCTATGCTTGACACTCCCTGGTGAGTGGTAAATATCCATGGCTGGGAGTCTCTGAGGTAGATTAGATGGAGTGAAGTAGGATTTTAAATATCTGCAGCAGGCACTTCCAGGATAGCTGAGATATATCCTTTGACTGGGAGTCTCTGCGGGGGATAAAATAGGATGGTAGAGGATGGCTCAGGAATGAGAATATCTTTTGACTGGGAGTCTCTGTGTGGAATACACTGAACTATCCTTGGTATACTGGAATATCCTTGAGCAGAGACTCTCTGCGGTGGATATGCTGGAATATCCTTGAGCAGAGACTCTCTGCGGTGGATATGCTGGAATATCCTTGAGCAGAGACTCTCTGCGGTGGATATGCTGGAATATTGGGTACCTCACCAGGAATGACCCTGAGTTGTCCCTTGAGGACTTGCTTAGCTCTTCGGAAGAAATAGACGGAGCCAACAACCATTCAGACAAAGAAGCCAATGAAGATGTTTCCGACCCTGAGGAGTCTATATATTAACATACTTCTACGCGAAGCCCTCATCCGTTCGTTTCTTTTTTCCCTCCTTCCAAGCCAACCCCCTTGCAATGTTGCGCTCCATGCCATTCTCTGTCCCCACCACACCTCTCTTCCAGCCACCGATTGCCATTTCAGTAGCAAGGGAGGAGATACGAGTCCATGACATTCAGGATGGCCCTGAATCTATTCTTGGTTTGCCATCAATAATCCTGTGAAGCACCTTACTCATGACCAATAGTGCACGACTTCAACCAGATATTGGATGCTGAGATAGAAGGAGATCCCCTCCCACCTATCCGTGCCCCAGGGATGCCCCTGCGTGGAGACATCAACACCCTCCCCACAGCCCGGATTCATTGGGTAATCTCCCCTGAATCCAGGGAAGCAGAACGGCTTCTTGTACTCGACTTGCCCCCACTCAGACTTCGATCCTGGGTTCACTTCCAGCCAGAAGACATGGCTTATGTCCTAGACATAATGAAGTATCGAGGCCGTTATGTGCAGCTCAAGCTGCAAATCTTCCCTGCCGGAATGATACCTCGGATGCCCTTGTTCAGGACGATGTGGGTGAAGTCATGGCATGTCAAGATGACTCTGAGGGAGAGAATCAGGGCATTCATTGCGATCTACCAATACCCACATTTTTATCTGCCTCTTGAAGACTCTGTCATGGTTCCCATTCCTATCATTCCAACTTGGTAATTTCATATTGCCCTTCATTTTCTTCTCCTGTCCTTTCCCTTAGATTCTTTTAATTCTACCATTTTGCTTTATCCCAGAACCTTACCACTCCCTTCAATTTCATATAGCTGCTGGACCTTCAATGGACGATATCTAGGACATCTTCTCCTTTTTTCCTTTCCAATCAAACCAAGCTAAATACTTGAAAACATGTATAGACATTATTTAGCTCTAGATGGACGACCTCCGCTAAAAATGCATTCAACTTTCAATACTTGGAAATTAAGAATGTCACTTACAAAATTGGTGCCTTGATCAGATCTGCAAAAAGTTTGCGAAGTTCAGTGCACATAATGGCACACCTTTTTGCCTCTGCCCCTTGAGTCTTTCCACGGCTGGCCACCCCTTTACCCCACACCTTAACAGCCCATAGCATTACCAACATTCCTCTTCCACCGCATTGCAAAAATGGTTGAGTTAGAAGGCCATCCAAACCATTCTCTTCCAACACCTTTGCATTCTCCTCTTTTTGCCCCTTCCACCATTCCCAAACTTCTGCGCCGAAATTGGGGTCACTGACCAATTCTTCAACATCAAACTGGGCACCCTCTTGATATGCAGCAACCCATGCATTCACCTGTTTGGGAAGCCCTTTGACTTGATGTGGACGTCCATCTTCATCAGTAGCCTTGTTCAACAACTTTCCTTCCAATGCCCAGTAGTTATCCACCACAGCCCTCCAGTCTGCATTGAAGGTAGCGAAGACTTGTCCATCCTCCCTAAGACAGCCACATACCGCTGCCAGGGTTTGTAAGTCGCTTGGGATTCGGCTTGGAGTTCCTATCCAATTTGGTGCAGCTTTAGGGCCAGCTGCAGCAAGTCTAGGGCCAGCACTGGGTCCTGCTGCAGATACTTTAGGGCCGGGCATTGTGGACTTCTTGCGTCTTTCTGATTGCTTCACCTGCTCCTCCCTATAAGTAGCATTAGAGACATTTGAGATTATGTTATGAGAGGCGCACCATTTGCTCAGACTGTTCTTGATCTGCTTGCAGACCTCAGTCAATTCATTCCACTCGGCAAGGGCAAAAGGCGATTGTTGCATGTAATCTGGGAGACAGTTTGCCACATCACTATCAGGCTCCAGAAAGCAAACTTTGGACATATCACGGAGCATGAGACCTAGAATGAGCAGGGATTTCTCAACACGTTCATATGGGCCGATGGCATCTCCAAGTCCAACATGAGGGAGTGGATCCTGCATGAGGTATGCCTTAGCAGCGGCAAAGGCCTCCCGGTCCCTCTCATCACTGGAGAACTGATAGAACTCCTCTGGAAGGTATGGTGTGTCCAGAGCCCAAGATGCCCATGCTGGTGCTCTGCGGTTGAGCCGTGGCGAAACTTGGCCTTGCTATTAGTATGATTTAGTTATGAATACATCATCAAGTTCCACACAGTTACTCACCTTGCACATGTGAAGCCATTGGATCATGGCGAGATAGTCAACTTCTGTTGAGAGAGACCGAAGGAAGAGGATACGGTCCTCATTCATCACCTGAGCAGGCGCCAACATTTGCATCTGGGCCATCATGTCATCCTTGTCCACAATCATTCCACCACCGTCACCTTCCCTATCCTCATCTGTCTCCTCTGGTGTAGACTTTGCACGCTTTCTCTGATCCAAATCCACTGCTGAGCCCCTCCGCTTCTTCACTACAACCATTTCAATCTCTTTCCCCCCATCCTTGTCCTTTTCGCTAATATCCCAGCCATCTATCAAACGCAATCCCATGCTACCGTTGTTTTGCCTTTCAAGGAAATGCATGTAGTAGCTCCGAACATCCCCAATGGACATTTTGCTTGGTTCGCCAAACTGTACTCCAGAAACCCGACTCTTCAAGTGCATATATGCCTTATTCTTTTGAGAAAGACGAAGCCAAGGCAAAGTCTTCTTTTCTCCATGAGAGTAATATGCTATTTTAAGGGGTTAGCCAATGGTTGGTTGAAAATCAAGTCTCTGATATTGCGCACCAGCAATTGCATTCCCATATTCACGAAATACCTTTACCATTGCTTCATTTCTAGCTCCGGCAGGCATCTGAGGAAGGATTGGCTGCCCTTCCTCAGTTTCATCAACCACCGCCCATGAATCTCGTTCGGCACCATCATTATCTTCAAGATCTTCAGGATCTGTAGAAATATCAGTATAGCTCTTCCTGTCAATGCTGCCACTCACGTCCATACAAACCAGTGGGCACAGCGTTTAGCCATTCTTCCCTGAAAGCCCGGAAGACACTGGACTTTATGAACTTGCTTGGACTTTTGCCATCTTTGGTTTCATGCCTGTTACTTATATTCAGCTCATGCGCAAGTCAATGTCAATTTTCACCATACCACCGAACAATAGGCTGTCCATCTCCTGGCGCCACACTAAACATAACAACAGAGGCGTCAAAGTAGGTGGAGAAATATTCTACCACACTATTCATGCTCTCTTGCATGCTTCGCCTAGCCAAACTAATTTTATGACAGTTAAAAAACACTAATATCAAAGTATAATGGACTCACGTAGCTTTCATATTGTTTGGTGGTCCCCTTTTGTTCCACTCCCTTGCCTTCCGTGAATAATCTTCCTTTTCTTCATCGGTGAAAGTATTCCAAAATTCTGATATGGCAAAATTGAACCGGTTTCCGAATCCCTGATCTTTATGGCTACTCAAAACATCCTTGAACATGTCCTCATTGTAAGCCTTTGCCATCAGGGGGCCTGTCATTCGCTTGTGCCATGAAGCGTCCACAGTAGGGCCTTCTGCGTCATCTTCTTCATCATCTTCATTGCCAGTAGTTGCCCTTTCTTTTCCTTTGCCTTTCTTTGCCGACTTTCTGCGCTTATCTGTAGTTCCCTCCTCCCCGGAGGAGTCCTCATGTCCATCATTGCAAAACCTTCTCTGATTGTTTTTGAACCACCAAGCGACTTGCTGTTGAGTTGTAAGCCTCGGTCAATTTGATTTGGGTGAGTGCAAACCTACCTTTGCCAGTTCACTTGTTGCTTTTAGCTCGGCCAACTTGGTGGGGTTGGCAGCTTGCTTTGCATACAACTTTTTACAAGTCTCTCTAATCACCTCCTCCCTCCCTTCGCCTTGTTCCATTCAACAATTGCTGGTTTGAGAATGTCATCAACATATTGAGTAGACCAGGCCATAATGAATCGTATTGAGTTGCGAGATATGCAGAGAGTTCCGGTGGGATAGATAATAGATATACAGGCTGTCTCTTGTGAGATTGATTCGCACCTTTTACATTTCAATTCCCACGGTCAAAGGACAAAACGACTATTAAACCAAAGTACACATACCAACTGGGCAGTTGCACTCAGCATAGGCAAATACCGGAACTACTTGCTCTTTTGCTATAACTTACACAACAGACTCTCAGTAACTAAAAGTTCTCATTTGCTTTGTCGGTGATAAAAATGAAAGATATCATTACTTATTAACTTCACAACACTACAGACAGGTGTTACATTCAGATACTACAATACATGCTCAAAGTTGAGTATATGTGTTGCACGCATGGTACGGCATGCCCAACAGCAAATGGCAATCACATCCCCCAAGCCGAGTTTGGGGGAACAGAGTGGAAAGGAGGCGGGTGGTGGGCGTGAGACGAGCATAGTGGGCGGGGAGGGCGCCAGGATACGTCGTGCATCATTGGCGCACGGTGTACCTGCGTTATGTCGATGTCGAACTGAAGTCGCGCCCCCCCAAGTCGAGTTTGGGGGAACAGAGGGAAACAGAGGCGGAGGTGGGCGCAAAACGAGCGCAGTGGGCGGGGAGGGCGCCAGAATACATTGTGCATGGGTCGTACCCAATGTACGACCCGTCTGCTGGGCGTCGAACCGAAATCGTGCTCCCCCAAGTCGAGTTTGGGGGAACAGAGTGGAAAGGACACGGGTGGTGGGCGCGAAACAGGCACAGTGGGCAGGGAGGGCGCTAGGATACGTCGTGCATCGTTGGGGCACGGCGTACCTGCGTTGTTTTGACGTCGCGCCGAAATCATGCCCCCAAGTCGAGTTTGGGGGAACAGAGTGGAAGGAGGTGGGTGGTGGACACAAAACGGGCACAGTGGGCAGGTGGGCGTTGGGATATGTCCTACATAGGTCGTACGCAACGTACAACTTAGGCGTCGATGAAGGATCCCAACCACGCAAGCCGAGTTTGCGGGATCGGAGCGGAACGGAAGTGGATGGGTGGGCGTGAAACGAGCACAGACGAGCACAGTGGGTGGGGAGGGCGTTAGGATGTGTTGTGGGTGGGTTTTACGCCGTGTACAACCCGTCTCCTCGGTGTCAAAACGAAATCGTGCCCCCCAAGTCGAGTTTGGGGGAACGGAGGGCAACAGAGGCGGAGGTGGGCGCGAAACCAGGGCAGGGATAGCGTCGGGACATGTGGTGCACGCGTAGTAGAGCGCGTGCATCCCGTTTTCCCGACGTCGTTGAGGAATCGCGCTCCCCCAAGTCGAGTTTGGGGGAACGGGGGGAATGGAGGTAGGGGTGGGCGCAAAACGCGGGCGAGGGCTGGGGACACGGTCGGGATACGTTGTGTGTGGGCTGCACACGACGTATGGCCCATTTTCTCGACGTCGAACCGAAGTCCGGACCCCCCAAGTCAAGTTTCGGGGGACGGAGGGAAACGGAGGCGGGGTGGGCACGAAACGCGGGCGACGGATGGGGACACGGTCGGGATACGTTGTGTGTGGGCTGCACACGACGTACCTGCGTTTCTACGACGTCGAACCAAAATCCCCGCCCCCCAAATCGAGTTTTGGGGAACGGAAGGGAACGGAGGGGGTAGTGGGTGCAAATCGTACGCAGGGCGCGGGGAAGCTAACGGGACGCGTGGTGGATGGTTGGGGCATGGCGTACCTGGTGTGTTGTAACGTCGAACCTGAATCGCGCCCCCCAAGTCGAGTTTGGGGGAACAGAGGGGAGCGGTGGAACTCAAGACGACCGCAGCTTGGGCTAATGCCGAGTCGTGGGAACGACTGTACAGTTGATGCACTACAAAATCGCTCGCTCGGCGTCTGTTTCGTCCTTTCTTCTTCTTTCTTTTCCCCTTCGCCGCGCATGTTTTTCTTTTTCGCGCCTTTCTTTTTTCCATACTTCTTTTTTTCCATACCGCGCTTCAACCTGGATGCTTGCGGGGACTGATTGGTCCTCGTAGGTTTGTTCGCCTGAGGGTTGCTCAGGTGTTCCCTTCCATGGTTGCAGAACTTCGATGATGGCTCCACACCACTCGACTCGCTGTTTGGGCGGTTGGGTCCTTGCTGGGGGGTTGCCCCAGTAAGTAGCGCGAACCTGGGGGCTCTACGCAGGCGTTCGACGTTCGGTCGATCGTTTGCAAGCTATCACTTGCACGATAGCTGGTGGGACTGGGGGCAGCACTGGGCAGTTGTTGGCTCCCGGATGCTAAGTCGTACTTTGCGTCGACTGATATCCATGGTGCTGGCCATCTCCAGCAGGTCGAGGTTACCTCAAATCCTCAACGGTTCCGGCGAGCCGCAAATCGCCATCGAGTGTCTTCGGACGCTGTCACCTTCGTGTGGCTGGGGTGCCTGGCACCCCGTCTTTCTGTATTCTCCAGGTGTGCTCCCTACTCTCTACTACCCTCCGTACGCTACTAACCTACCTGCCAAGCAGTATAGGTTGTCCGCATCTCACTGTCACTGTCCACCCAATTCCCATCCCTCCATTGGTGATGTTAACACCCGCGTACGCCGTCATCCTTCTCTCTCGCCGCTGTTCAACTAACTTTCCACATGTTTTGGCTGTCTGCCACCGGGGCCTTGGGCCTACTCGTCTGTCCTCAGTGTTGCAGGTCATCTGTCTGTCCCCCCCCTCCATCCTTGACATTGATCTCACTTGCTCCCCCTCTAGGCCTTCCTTGCTCGTCCTTGTCATCACGCATACCCATGTATGTCTATCTCTGTCTGTTCATATCATCTTACTAACTTGCTTATATATTCTCTCTCTGATGGGTAGTATTATAGGTTGCTCTCAATGACTTATTCATTGTTTAGTAGTAAGTTCCTCACCATTTCAGTTACTCAATACTCATGAACATCTATGCTTGTGTGTTTGCAGTTAGCTTTCTTAAGTACATGTATTTCTTGCTATAGCTTGTTGTTGCTCTGAGTCATGTATGCTAAGTGAGGCTTTGGATGATCTTGGGGGATTGGCCACCCCTCAAGTGATTTCAATTGTCTTGATTAGCTTGTTTAGCTTGTAATAAATAATAAAAGACTTATCATTGTTTTAAACTGGATTTGAGGGGAAACCTTTGCTCGCCGTTTGAACTATTGTATCACGTGACCTGAGTGTTGCTGTCATACTGATGGTGGACGGATGGCTTCATTGGGGGTTAGTCTTCATTAGTATTAGTGGTTGACAGGCAACATTTAGTCTATTTTAGCTAGTGCATGCTAATCATAGTAGCTTAATTCAAACTGCTAATTTGTACACTAACTTAGCACTGCTACTATACAAGCTTCACCATGTGTGCTAATGCAAAGACTAACACATGGCGGGCCACATGTAACACGGCAGGCCGCATGTAACACGGCAGGCCGCATGTAACTACATCACAAGCCAGCTATCTCACTGCTATAAAAGCAAGCAATGCTTAGTTGAAATCTCAGCAAAATGGCCCGCACCAAGTACACTGCTAAGAAAACCACTGGCGCCTTGGGTGTTCATGCTGACATTCCTCCTGCCTCTCCCCCTGCCTCTTCACGCCGAATGAATGCTGCAAGGCAAGTAGCTTCCTTACAAGCCCTTGAAATCTTGTCCTCTGAGGATCATGGACCGGATGGTGCTGTAAGTATCTTGACTGCTTTCATTTCTTCCATACTGACTTTACCACACTGTAGATTTGCAATGGTTGCCAAAATGGCAGCACCATGCTTAGCTGTGATCACTGCCCCCAGTGGACCTGTTATGGCATTTATGGCGAGAATGACACCCAGGGCTGCTTGACCATACGCAGCAGAGAGATGTTGGAAGCAGCAGTCTCTTTCATGTGCCCAGCCTGCCACCGCAACAATGACCGCAACAGGGATAAAAAGAAGAAGACACGCTATGTAGTGAGTACTCTTCACATATGCCCAGTTATAGAATATTCACACACCCCACCAACTAGGGCCTGTATGGTGCCAATGGGGGAATGGAGGATGCAGTGGTAGATGTCACCAAAACAACCTTGCACTTCTTCCCCCCCCTTGACAGCAGGGACACTGTTCTCCTGTTGCTTGCTGTTCGTGGTGCTGAGCACATGATTGAGCCTGCCACCGCCACTTATGCATTGCTCAACTCTTTCTTTGGCCGGGGACAAGGCGCCCTCCACCTGGCAACCATATTCTTCGACGTCTCCACGCCAGAGGGAGGCAATCTTTATGATAACCAGCTTGCTGCTGCAGTGGACTTCATTCAAAAGTATGTTTTAACTCTGATTGCCTTACTCATTACTCTCTCACTAAACCTTTACAGGAATGCCAGACGTGTTGTAGTGTACTTCATCACCCATGCAACACCTGATGGTGACTTGCATTTCTCGGGCCCCCGCATCGTTCAGCAGAACAAAATCACACAAAGCTTACCTGGGCATAGTAACTCCCCACGCGCTGTAAGTCCTTGCTGTGTTCTTGTGCTCAAAAGACTAACTATTTGTTCAGATTCTGAACCGTCTTTTCACAGTGGAACTGTTGGATGCCTTGCGTATTGTAGGGGAAACTACATTGTTCCTCATGGTTTGCGGTGGATACCTTGGCCATTTGGAAACCACCGACTGGGTCAACTCTGCTGTGCGCCGGTAAGTGATGTCAAATTCAATCAACTGAATCTTTACTGAATCTCACATGCAGTCGCTCATTCCGTGAAGTGGTTTCTTTTGGAAGCAAACGCCTACAGCCCTTTTGGGTATCTTCATTCTGTGCCCGCTTTGTGCAGCGCTTCTACTTGGAAGGAGCAGTCTATCCTGCAGCTATGGGTGACATCTTGGGTGGAGATGCCAGACTTGGTGCAGCTACTGATGTTGTGGTCATCAGACACAATCCTATGGATTACAGCTTCCCTGAATGAATCCGCTACGTTTGGGCTCAAGACATTCAGGCCCCATATGGTACCCCTCTTCCCACTCTCTGCCCAGTCTGTCACTGCTTCGGCACACTCTCTGCCTCCAACCCAGCAGATAAAGACTCCTTGCTTCGAATCTCTTGCAGCCAGAAGGATTCTGATACTGGGGTCAGGTGCAACTGTGAATTGCTTGCTCCTGTCTTCCCTGGAAGGGTTAGAGGAAGCAAGTTATTCTATGGGGAATGGTTATCAGAAACATTTTAATCTACCGTAGCAGCAATATGTGATTTTTCTTGCCCCTAACCCCTAAACATCAACTCCAAATATGTACAAATTGTTGCAAAAAATTTTCACTGAGACTCTCTTCTTTCTTTTATCCTTCCACTACAATGCCAAAAGTAAATAATGCAAATGCTTATTTCTCAGAAAGGGATATAGCCCAGCGTCTAAGGCAGTTTGCCGGAGGCCAAGACAAGTAAAGCTCTACTTCATAAATTCTTGCTTCAGATTCTAACAGAGATATTACAGGTTCCTTCCCAGAACTTGGCGTGGTGTTTCGGTTCAACAAATTGGCAATGTCTTAAAGAAGGCATATAAGAATCTTAGTAAGTTACTTCAAAGCTGGCGGATATAGGCTGATTCAAAAAAGTTGTTCTGCCAGTGACTGCTGATAGACTCAGTAAAGCCACACATATACAACATGCCAAGCTTCTCGAGGATGTGAACATTGGGCTTGTAACCAAGCCCACAGTTCTTGTATCTTCCGATTACAAACCCCTAATTGTATATCTTCCACATGTAGTGGCAAAGCACATTGAGGTATTATTGACATTACTATGCTAGAATTATACTTACTTCCTTCAAGCGTAATGCCACAGAGGCTACTTTTGGAATTGAAGACATTCTTGCCAAAGGCGTCAAGAAATCGGGCAAGAAGAATTGGCGGAATGAACAGGCTAGATTCAAACCTTATCAAAGGCTTCCAGTGGGACAAGAAGCCTTTTCAGGAGGCTGGTTTGCGCAAGGCCATGCAGTGGGTACTATGTTCTTTCTTTACTACTTAAACTGACTGTTCTTAGAGTGGAAAAACCCCTCCAAGGCCTTCAGTTAGCTTGCGAAGTGCATCTAATGAGAAGGCCACAGAGCAATGGCTGAAAGATACAACTACTCTCAATCTCACCATGAACCTGATCATGGGTGCTGTTCATCCAGATTCATACAATGCTGGAGCTCAGGCTTTGCGAAATTTGCGCCAGGAGATGAAGCCAGAAGATGCAAAGTGGGCTTGTTTGTGGGCCTCTGTGGCTACAGCAGTAGCCATTGTTTCCAACGGTACAAGTCCCCCTCATTTTGACTCAAAAGGCGATGTCAAGCAGTTCGATGCTTTGACAAATCTGGGCTCTGACTATGTACGACTTGGATTTCCAGATCTTGGCGGAAGTTTCCATTATCATGGAGGATCAGTGGTTCTATTCTCAGGGAAGCTGTTCAAACATGAGGTCAAGGATTGGGTGGTTGGTGAGCGGGTGGGGTATGCTTATTTTATGAGAGCTGAAGTTCAAAAGCAATTCAGAAAGAGGCCAGTGGACTGGGCAAGAATTCCAAAGTCAGTACCTTTGCCTAGCAAGTCTAAAACTTAGCTATAGTTAGAGTACATAATTAAGCATATTTTATATGTGATCTGATATTCGCTGTCAGAGAAAATTACTTTGATTTTGCACGTGACTATCACTTTAACTTTTCAACCGCAACCATGGGCCTTCTGAAAGCATCATCAAAGCCGAAACCCAAGGGCTTCAGTCAGACAGTTTGGAAGAAGACAGCCAATGGAAAAAGACGTCGGGTTGAAGTAATTAGGCCTCTCAGCCTCAGCCCACCGCCCTCCCCTTCCACTCCACGTACTCCACATAAAAGCAGCTCTGTGCGGTCGACCCCACAAAGCTTAGCTGGAGCAAAAAGGCACCAGACTCAAGAGCCTGTAGGCAATTGGCCTGAACTAGATGACATCTTGGAAGAAGCTGGCTTCAACGAATTTGACTTTAGTCAGTTCAACTTGTACGGCAAGGTAAATGCACCCTCTTGAAAAATTTGTTACATAATCTTATATGAAATAGACATCGGGTGACTATGTACAAGAATGGATGCAACACAAGATGGCTGATTTGCAAGAAATCATAAATATGGAAGCATTGCCCCATGAGCCAACTTGCATCTTGTGCTGTGAGGCTTTGGATGATATTATCTTCCGTTACAACCACTGCTTCAGCACACAAGTATTATGCAGTATATGCTGCTTGGAGTCTCACCGACGGAGCCCTTTTCATCATATTCAAACCTGGAAAGACGGCCACTTCAAGGATTGTGACCTGAACGAGTTGGGTCTGGTCGTTAATTTGGGTCATGGGGGGAAGGAGTGCCCTGCAGCAAGAGGTGATGCCGATGTTATTAACCCATTCATGTCAGGTAAGAAGACCAATCTTTGCATCTTGTTTCAATTCAATGAACTTGCAAACAGACAACAGAGAGCAATCGGTGGTGATAGTGCACACTACTGGCATATACACCAGAATCATCAAATTGTGCAGTTGTCAAGATTGCAAGTCTCCATATGTTCAACTTCTCCAAGCCCGACTATTTCCTGCCACATCAGACAGGCCATCAACTGTGTTTACATTTGAGGTTCTCGAAGAATTACACTTGCAACGCATTGAGTGCAAGACTGCATCATCAAACTTCTATAGTCTTCTCCGAAGAAAGACGGACTTCAATGCCCCTGCAGATCTTCCAGTTTGTCCTCCTAAGCCCCTTTCAAGCCTCATAGTACTTACATTCAACTTAGGACCGGGCTAGAGAAATGGAACGGGTCTCACGCTGCTATCGGGACCTGAAGAGCAAGTTACATGCTGGTTGCTGGACAGCTGAGGGGAATACTGTGGGCGGTCAAGCCATATTCTGTCCTGCTTGCCCCCAACCTGGCGTGAATGTGACAAATAGAACATGGGATAGCAAGACAGATCCAAAATGGTTGTTATCGCCCCTGCTGGTCGCTGATGGAAACTTCAAATTTGACCATCTGCAACTAAAGAAGCCACACTCGGACATACAACTACGTGACGGTACTGGCTATGTTGTGACCACAGCCACATACGAGGAGCATCTAGCTATTACAAATGGTGTCCAAGAGAAATCAGACTGCGCCAATCACAAGGCGGTCAACCAGGCTACTAGACCAAGGAAACATGTGGATAATACTGGCATTGGTGTGATTGCATGCGCAAGGCATGGTTTCTTTGTTCCACATTCAATAGTGAACTTTAAGAAAGGGGAACAGTGAGTTTGTATCATCTGCATGGAACATTATGTTGATGGTTGGTTAGACAGAAGAACATGGATTTCGCACTTTCGGAAGCTATGAAGTTCTTCACCAAATTACGACCAATCGATGATATTGATACCACACCATCAATCACCGTGATCTATGATGTGATGTGCCAGTATGGGGTTCACCTAGAACAACGTCTGGAGGATGGCTTATATCTGGAAAAGCCAGACATTCCCATTCAAAAGGCTATTGGGAAATTCCATCTTGGAGCGCACATTGACAGCTGCTTTTCCAAGTTCAGTCTCAACTTTTTGCTTGGTGCCGGCCATACTGATGGGGAGGTCCTGGAAACACTATGGGCTCCTCTAAATAAAATTGCTGGAAGCACACGGTCAATGACACTGGCACACCGTCAGGAGGTTCTTGATGATTCTATGTATGACTCTAATTGGAAGAAGATCACAAATCTTGGTGTGTAGTCCATTTATGTCACAATTTATCATACTTACCTAGATTCATAGTGCCGTCTTTGATAAAAAAGTGGAGAAGAGCGGAGACATCCTTTGAGGAAATGGATGCTGCATATGAAGATCTAAGGTGCAGGTTGTCAGACAATGACTTATTGTTGTGGGATGGTCAGGCAGAGAAAGCATCATTACTTCGTGGAAAAGCATTAGAAATCTATGATGTCAAGGTGGAACAATGTAAGTCATTTTCTAATGAAGCAATTATGAATATTTGATAACACAATTGATGATTGTTGACACTAGACCCATCTGTTGCCAGTGTGCGATTGAATATGGTGGAACAAGAGCTGGAAAGTACTAGCTATGTTTTGGGAAGTGCTGCATTCTTGACCAAAGGAATGTCCTTGGAAGAAGCCCAGTAAGTTCTTCTATTGCCAAACAAAAAATTGACAGTTGACCTTGTTGTAGACTCAAACTTCAAGCCACCATTCACTCCTTAGGGAGTTTTCCGACTGTCACACAACGAAACAACCTGGCTGACAGGAGGAGAATTATGAAGAAGAACATTGCAGAACACCGACGCCAAGGAGGCAAGCTAATGCTTGACAACCTGGCCCTTGTCAATGTGGAAGAAAACAATGATACTGATAGTGAGGATGAGTATGAGGAGGTAGGGGATGATGAGGATGATGGGGATGATGAGTATAGGCCGGGTTCTACAGCCAAGGGAAGCAAGAGGGTAGATGAAGTCAAAGAGGCGGAGCATATGGAGGTATGCATGCCATCAACATTCAGTCAGGAGGAAAGAACCCAAATAGGCTGGGCTAAACTGGCAGAGCAAGAGGTGGAGCTGCGAGAGGCCCAGATAAATGATGCACTTCATGATCTCCGAATAGCTCTTGGCGAGAAGTCACTTCAATTTCGAAAGGTCCTTCGTGGTGATCGGTCGCAGAAGCATGTCTCCAGGGCTTGGAGTATGATCAACTCATATGATGACAGGGCAAACCTACAGGTTGATATCTATGAAAGAGCTGTAGAGGCGTTGAAGAGGTTGGGCAATGATGCTAGAAGTGGCTGCCTATCAACCGGGATCACGACCTGCAAATGAAGGGAGATGTTGAACATGCAAACAGAATTGGACAATCATCTCATGCATTAGCTTGGTTTTGGAGGTTGCAGGGTAGTGAGGTCTCAGACGAAGTAGAGGATAGCCCTATGATGAAAGAATGTGAGTGATGTGAATTGGTTTTTGATCAGGTCAATAATCAACTCTTAGTCTATCAGATCAACTACCTGCGGGCCAAGGCTAGGCATGATAGATGGGAGGAGGAGATGATGCTACTGAAGAAGGAGGTAACATGGACCCTGGCCTGGTTCACATATCAGGCAGATTGGTGGAAGGTCAAAGGTGAAAGTGATGAAAGGCAGCTTAGCACAGGGCAGCAAGCCTTTTGCCGAAAGATGACAGCCAAATGGAGGGACTTCAGGAGGAGAGGTGTGCAGGCCATCCAGCAGAGCAAAGAAAGTCAGCTCTGGGTCGAAGAATAGTAACAAAGGGAATCTATACAGCAGCCAGTGTTAATCTTATAAGATATTCTCTCTCCAGGGAGTGTCCACGGTGGATATTCCTAGAGATTATCCACCACAGACACTCCCAGCATGGATATAAATAAGCTGGAGTATCCCTCCAGGGAGTGTCCACGGTGGATATTCCTAGAGATTATCCACCGCAGACGCTCCCAGCATGGATATAAATGAGCTGGAGTATCGCTCCAGGGAGTGTCCACGGTGGATATTCCTAGAGATTATCCACCGCAGACACTCCCTGCATGGATATAAATGAGAGTGAGTAGCCCTCCAGGGAGTGTCCACGGTGGATATTCCTACAGAGTATCCACCGCAGACACTCCCAGCATGGATATAAATGAGAGTGAGTATCCCTCCAGGGAGTGTCCGTGGTGGATTAATCTGCCATGGATTATCCATCCTGTGATTCCCTTAGCAAGGATTATCCTCTTCCGAGAGTGTCTTAATAGGATAAAGGTCTGGATCACTGGCACTCCCTGTGTAGATATATCCAATGGCCACAGAGAGCATCAGGTATGGATATATCCCGGCCGGGCCTAGCTGGCCCAGGGAGTGCGTGGGGGAGTATTCTCTATCCATCCGGGAGTCTCTGGTGTTTTACACTGAGTGGACTGGCTGATTCACCAGTGACTTGGCACCCTCTCCCGCGCCCTCTCGTCACCTCTCTTTCGGCACCATCGATGTCGACGATGATGTCGATATTGATTCAGAAGAGGTCGACGCATCTCCCAAGAAACAGCGCCATGCAATTGGTGGGGTTGTCTCGTCTGCTGAGGGGGGCGATCACCCTGCCCCGAGTCTTTCCTTTGGAACCGTGGACACCCTTGTCGAAGAAGGGGAAGTCGTATCACCGTCCCCGAAGAGAGGGCGATGTTCTACTCGAAAGGTCGTGCGGGACGACGAGGCTGCGCTGGAGGTCATACCCCACACCCCGTCCAAACCTTTGGGCTGGAAACGCAGGTGAGCAGAGTTGATCTCTTTCCGTTGCTGAATGAACTCTGTCTCACCCTTCCTCAGGCACGGGTCTCTCACCCTGACCCTCACTCCCTCCCCTTCCCCCCCGTGAGCTTGTCTTTTTCTCATTCTCCTTCTTCTCGCTGACTCTCGGATGAAGGTCCACTGTGAAGGCTTCGAAGGCTTCGCTGAGCGCGAGGGATCGCAAGCAGGCAAACCCTGCCAAACGGTGAGCGCCTGTCGTTCACAAATCGTAACAGTTCTCTTCCTCACACTCTGCGACTAGCATTCGACCCATGGTCCGCCTGGACTCGGCGGACTCAGTCGCTGCATCTGCCCCAGTGGACATCCCTCCCAAACACGCGCCACCTTCGTCGCAAGCGCGAGCTGCTTCCAATGAAGACATTGACAAGCTTTGGCCAGATACTCCCAAGCCAGCAAGAGCGGCCAAGTCGCTTGTGCTTGAATTGCTTGACTTGGAAGCAGAGGAGGGCACAGATGGAGATGATGAAATGGACGTTGGCGGCCAAGAGGATACTGAAGAAGCCGGTGGGCTCAGCGGCTGGCTGGACGACTCGCCCCCTCCCAAACCTGTCGGTGTCAAGGGGAAGGGGAAGGCGTTGTCGAGCACTCCCGCCGCTCCTGTCTTCGCTTCTGTCAATGGGCCTGCTGCAAATGTGTTGGGGGATAATACACCTGTTGCCGCCTCTGCCCATGAGTAGGCTCCTCTTTTTCTAGTCGACGGGTCCTTGCTTACTCTTCTACTTTCAGCGACGACACAATATTCTACATTGACTCAGACATTGACGAAGTGGTGGAGGAGGCTTCTGAACCCACCAACAAGGCCACTGATCTTCAAGCGGAGGGCCGACACGAAGAGCTCCTCAACGAGTTAGTATTCGCATCCATCCCGCCTATTCTTTCTGGCTTGGTCGACTACCTCTGATCGAGTGGTTTCCTTCGGAATATACAGTGAGTTCAGTTGCTCCTCACTGAATATTTAAATTGCTCACCTGTGCTAAGCTACGGGGAGCTTGTGCCGAAGTACACCGCGAACAATGAGGAGGAGGCTAAGATGCCGTTCGTCACGACCGTCTTCCGGATGATGAAGAGTGAATATTCAGTAGTGTACGTCACTTTATGTCTTGCAGCGCGCGGGCCAGCAGGGTGCTCACCCCTTTGCCAGGTCCATCTTCGATGCGATCCACTTCCGTGGGATCGGCGTATACGCGAACCCGTTCACCTCTGACCCGAAGGCCTTTGAAATGAAAGACAAGAAGGTGGTGTTCAAGGATGGAGTCAATCGAGGATACCCCGTTGTCTTCGTCATGCCCATTGTGGTGCATGAGTGCAATCTCCTTTCCCCCACTCTCGTCAACAAGAATTTCGGCACTGAGACTCATCGTCGGCTCACCGGCTGGGTCTTTGCTGAGCTCTGGGAGCTGTTCTCTTCCTTCGTCACCTCCCTTCTCAACAAGGACACCGCCTACGCCTACATCACCTCCAGGTACCTCCGGTTTGCCTCCAGGCAGACCACAAATTCCAAGGGAGGAGGTTGGTTATTTCACTTGGCTCTTTCTTCTTGTCCTGACCTCCCTCTTTCGCAGGTCTCTCCGTCCCAAGTACCCCAGGCAGGTCTGCGCAGGATTCTCTCACGTTTGGCAACTCCTCTCAAAGAACCCCCAGGAGGGTGGGAGCCAGGTCTGCCCTTGATATAAAGTATCCGCACGTATACGGCCCGCACGGCACAAGTGAGTCATTTGCTCCCTGCTAACGACTCACCAGAATCTCATGTTTTCTGCCAAGTTCCTGTGTACGACGGCCGGTCTCGATACGGAAACTTTCGAGTGGAGGAAAGCCAATGGGGGGATATCGCCAACCTGCCTCGACTGGGCACACCCCCTGTTTCTGCGGGGAAGCCGCCCAAGGATGTCAAGCTGGTGGAGATGGCATCCTCCACGTCCAAGCAGTTCTCCGTCGTGCTTGTTGCGTTCACCATTGGTACATTTGGCACCTCCCCCCAGGTCTCGTTCAACCTCATGTTCTCCATATTGATGGGTAACTGGTCCGAACGGCCAGAAGGAACTGCCTTCAAGGTGTCGCTGGACAGGATGGCAGTCCTTCGCGCTCAGGCTGCGGCTGCAGCTCGCCAGTCGGCTGCAGATCGTGTCCACAGCAGCGTGGCTCGTGTCGGCGCAAATGCAGCAACTGCTGGCACCAGCAGAACTGCTCGTCGTTAACACCCGCGGCCGCTGTTCCTTGCTTCTTGTTAAGCTCCTATGCAGTCTGTAGTCAACAATATAATTTTGTTTGTTAGAAATGAACACGAGTGCGTGAGGACAAGTTAGATGTAAGATTTCATCTCTTCCAGTGTGCTGAATAGCCTGAGTCCGTTCTGCCATCCCTGTGCCCTATCTTCCATGCTCCTACTATACGCAGAGAAGTCCGACCTCTGAAATTCCGCCTTTGTTCTGCATCCATTGTCAACCCACCGAAAGATGCCGCCGGCGCAGTACTGAGTGAAGGAGGCCCTTTCCTCATCCTGCTGAACTGAGATATTGGAGTGGAGGATGGCGGATGACGGTACGAGGATGGTGGAGCCTGCAGGAAACTCGATGATCACTCTAGCATCCCAGAGCACGAGATGGCCCCCTTTGGTGTGGTCGAACCATCCAAGGGCAGTGATCGAGCACCATCCGTATGCCAGGTTCAAGGTGTCTCGGTGTGCAAAGGTCTGTACGTTGGGGCCGAAGTTGAAAGTTGCACAGGAAAAGATGGACCTTTGGAAGTTTCTACTAAGGTGTGGGAGGGCTTGATGCATAGACTTGACATGCTCTTGCATTTTGAAGGGTGTTGTATACGGGCTAAACAATGCGAGCTGACTGTATGGCTTGGGCTGTCCTCTGAGAAGCGAGTCCTTGCTAACGTACGAATAGAGGGGAGTAATGACAGACAACGAGTAAATTATTATTTCTGAGAAGCAGCAAGCAATAAATACTCTTGTCATCTACCATTATCATGCCTCACTCCTTAATCTTCGAGATCCTTCTGGTTGAACCCCTACCCCCTCAGCAGCAATCTTCTTATCCACACAGGTGCGTTGCTTTTTGGCTGGTCGTTTGACTGGTTCAGGTTCGGGGATGTTGTCAAAATTCACCTTGCGCCTTTTGATTTCTGTGGCTGTCTTGGGGTCTTGATGTAGCTTAATGGCATGGCGTTGAGCTATGTAGTGTGGCACAAGTGGATCTGTGCGGCAGACCAACCGACTGAGGCAGAGCAATGTGAGATATAGTGAGATATAGATGTGGAGAAAGTGACGAACCGTTTGTGATAGACAAATCCAACACCTGCAAAGTCCAAGGGACCCACTGCGTACTTATTTGTATGATTAACAATGTGCTTGAAGGTCTTGGTTGCCTTGACTGGCTCGGGTAGCCTGTTAAAGCACTGTCTGTCCTTTGGCGGGGTTCTATGATATTATTCAGTATAGCTAATAGCCAAGAAATGAAAGCAAACCACTTTTCATGGAACGCCTTGCAAATATCAATCTTGACAACAGACCAGACATCCTTGGTCTTCACGTATACGCAGGTCGGTAGAAGAGATGTCAAGCAATACTTTGAAGACATTGGCACTTCAGTATTTTAATCAGTCTGGTCGAGTTCTTGCGATCGGACAGTCATCTGAATTTGAATCAATATGGAACAATCCACAGCTCTATCCCTCAATGTTTCCCTGGTTGTTTCCATATGGCCTGGGAGGTATTGGATCAGTTGATCGGACGTCAACAGCTACCCACAAAAGATGGTTGCTAATGTACCATGACAAGCACTTTCAGACTGATGCGACCTTTCCATTCATAGCATTTAGTCATGAGCAGATAATGAAAAGCTCAAAAAAGGCATTTCTATTGACAGAAAAGTCAAAATTCAAGGCAATTTCTGAGAGAATAATGAATATCGATGAAGATGTGCTTGCGTCTATTGCTGCTCGCACAGCAAATGGGGAACATATTAAGCCAGAATCAGCAGAAGAAAAAAACTGTTTTGACATAGTAAGGGACTTGGACCACATCGCAGGTGGTGTTAGCGGATCTCCAACATCCAAGAAATATCAAAGAAATGAGATATGGTCCTTAATGTATCATGTAGGAAGCCCAATATGGTACATCACTCTATCACCGGTTGATATCAAACATCCCATATGTATATACTATGCTGGAACAGATGAAACTTTCCAACCAATCATACCAGCAGACAAGCGAATGCACACTGTCACTTCCAATCCAGTGGCATGTGCTAGATTCTTCAAGTTTGTAGTTGACATGTTTATAAACGAGATTGTGCGATTTGACTCAGGCGGTCCCGGTATTTATGGTGATGCCGAGGCGTACTACGGTACAGTAGAGCAGCAAGGAAGGCTGTCGTTGCACCTGCATGCAATGCTGTGGATATCCGGCTCACTTTCTCCTCAGGAAATACGGAACAAGGTGGTCGACCCTGATGGCAAGTGGAAGAAGAGAATTGTTGAGTGGTTAGAAAGCTGTCATATGGGTGAGTTCATGACTGGTACCCATGAAGAGGTTGAGGCGCGAGTTGCAAAATCAAAGATTGACAACACCTATGTGGATCATACATTATATGTACCTCAGATTCCGCCATCTATGCCTCAATGTGACTGCACTGATGAGACATGTGAATCCTGCATTGCGATGAAAGACTGGTGGTCCCATTTCTCGCATGTGACTGACGAAATCATACTGCAGTCAAATGTGCATGACTGTGATCGGTACCTCAAAAAAGACGGCACACAAAGCAAGCTTCACGTTTACAAGGGATGCAAAGACAATAAGTGGGGAAAATGTAAGGCACGATTTCCAAGAACATTAGTTAAGGAGACAGAAGTAAACAGTGATACAGGCTCTATTGTTCTAAAGAAACTTGAGCAATGGATAAATACCTTTACACCACTGGTTACCTACATTGTGCGGTCGAATACAGATGTGACTTCAATGATGTCTGGAACTGCGGTCAAAGCAGTTGTTGCCTACGTGTCAGACTATATAACCAAGTGTGGCTTAAAGACACATGTAGTATTTGAATGTATTCAGGCTGTGCTTGCACATAATCCCGATATACTGAATGACAATGGCGTAGAGTCCGTCTACAAGGCTCGTCAGATCATGACCAAGGTTGTTAACTTGATGGGTGCCAAGCTTGAAATGGGTTCTCCTATGATATGCATGTATTTACTTGGACATCAAGACCATTACACCAGTCACGAGTTTAAGGTTTTTTATTGGACATTCTATGTGTCTGAAGCACGCAGCTATTGGCATCCTGACGATGCGTACAAGGTTACTGATAAGGTGGCACTTATGAAAACGAACGACAGAGTAATTGGACTGTCACCTGTGTTTGATTATGTTCATCGACCAGAGTCGCTGCATAATATGTGCCTGTATGATTGGGCAATTCGTTGCAAGCGAGTAAAGATCAATAAAAAAACCAACAAGAACTCAGGCCTGGAGAATGACAGCAACGAGCAGGAAGCATCTGAGGCCAAGGAAATTAACCCAGATGAATATGATGATGACAATAATGATGACATTGATGACAGTGCCGATATGGATAATGAAGACACAGACAGGTTCCTTTCTGGCTCAAAGCGCTCGAAGCAAGTTTTGCTTGAATATACACCAGAACACCCCCTGTCGTCAACACACAGATGTGCCCTCATGCTGGAAACTAACAAAAAGCTAAGCAGAACAGTGTTGAACTTTATGAGTGCACCTCCACGAAGAGACCAGGGAGACAGAGAGTACTACTGCAGTGCAATGCTTGCCTTCTTTGTACCATGGCGAAGCAGCAAGGACCTTAAGACTGCCAACACCACATGGGATGAGGCATTCCTTGCACAGGATTTCAGCACTCACCACAGCAAGATAATGAATAACTTCAACCTCCAATACGAGTGTCTCGATGCTAAAGACGATTTCAGAACCGAAATGAAGGTGGGTGCTTCTAGTGAACTGTCGCTTCCATTCAGTGATGATGTATATGTAGCTAAAAAATGCGAGGATGGTCTTGATGACATTCTCACCGATGCAAGTGACATCAACCTGAAGATAGAAGCTGATAAGATGTGCGCAGCTGCACTTCGTCGTGATAAAGCAATAAAGTCCATGAAAGCAATGATGCAAAATACAAACTGGGCAACTCCACTGCATTCAACAGAAGGTGTCTGCATAAGCAACAATGATATTGTACAGCAGCTCCGGCCACCCCAAAAATCACCACGTGAATGGCGACAGCAGGTTCAGACTCTGCGGCAGCAAGTCTTAGAGGCTCGCAAACAAACGGGATCATCCAGGGGTGATTCCAAACCAAGTTGTCCACAGCCCTGTGATTATGACTATGTCAAGGTCGTGGATAAGTCATACCTTGAAGCAGCCTATATCCCAAAGATTCATTGTGAACTGGTGACGGAGTGTGTAACTAGCTTTTCTTTGAATGAAGAGCAGAATAGAGCCTTCACCATTGTTGCCAACCATACTGTGGCTGAGAATAGTGGCCAGTTGAAGATGTATATCGGTGGGATGGGAGGGACTGGAAAGTCCCAAGTTCTCAAAGCTCTCGTGCATTTGTTTACAAGTCGGAATGAACTGCACAAACTGCTAGTGGTAGCGCCAACTGCGAGTGCTGCATGCCTCTTACCTGGTGGTATGACTTATCACTCAGCATTTGGGATCAATTTTGCAGTCTCAAAGAGTGTGCTGTCTTCAACAAAAGAGAGGCTGGAAGGTGTATCATATGTTTTTTTTGATGAGATATCCATGTGCGAGCACGTTACGCTCTCCCACATGTTCGGGTGAAGTTCACCTGAATGGCCGAACAACACCTGAACAACACCTGAACAACACCTGAACAGAATCCGAACATTGGCTGAATTTCTCCACCAAAACTCTTTTTTTTGGTTCAGATTTTGTTCAGGTCACCTGAATTGTTCACCTGAACATTTGGTGAATTCAGGTGAATTTGACAGGTAATGTTCACCTGAACATTTGGTGAATTCAGGTGAATTTGACAGGTAATGTTCACCTGAATGTTAGGTGAATTCAGGTGGAATACATTAGTACTACTTCTTGTTGCAGGAATTCTTGAATAATGGCTCCTTTTAAGTGGGAAAACTGTTCAAAGAGGTCAACAATACTTCTTCCTAAGAATATCTTTTACTCTGAACACTGTTCTACTAACAAATAGTATATTGTTACAGTGGGAAAATATCACCCAAAATAGAAGTTGTAGAGCCATCTTTTCCGACTCTGCCGGTATAGATAGGCATTGTGAGGACTTGACTTATTAGTGAGAAAAATGTAAATTACTTGAAAAAACAGGGAAAGTTTTCAGTTTTCTTACTGTATAGACTGTTTAAGAGGTCTACTACATTTATCAGCAGTTGTTTTGTCAATGCTAAACACTCATTATGCTGAAGAAAGAGTTTCCTGATGTTCCCACAGTAACAAGAATTTTCCCATGGTCAGTATTAAACTTAGTGAATACTTTTGGGAAAGACCAAGATACTTTTTGCAGGGTATATCAACCTGGTTATATGACTATTTGTAGAATTCTCATGAGCTACTTTCATTGTTCTGCAGTAGTTGATAGAAATAGTAGAATCACATAGAAATGACACCATGGATGACAACCATATTGATGAGACCATATTCAGGTGTTGTTTGTATGTGGTTCAGATGATGTTTGGGTAATGTTCATATAATGTTCAGATAATGTTCAGATAATGTTCAGGTGATGTCCAGATGCTGCTCAGATGACATTCATCTGACATTCAGATAGAATTTGGATGATCTCTGTTCACCTGAACATCACCTGAACATCACCTGGACACCATCTGAACATTATCTGAACCTGAACAAAGGCTACAAACAGAATCTGAACATTATCTGAACATTTGGTGAAATTCACCTGAACAGTATCTGAACAATACCCGAATACCCGAACATCACCTGAATGTCAGATGAACATGTGGTGGACTGCAACATACACTCATTGCATAGCCACACTATAGGACAATCACTGAAGAGGTTGAAACAACAAGAAGAGGCATTTGGTAAGGCCTTGTGGCATCAGGTGACCACTGTTGTAATTTTGCGGAAGAACATGAGACAGAAATCACAAACTGCAGAGGATGCTAAATTCTGCACTGCATTGGAAAACATGAGGTACAGAGCCTGCACCCTTGAAGACGTACAATTCTTGAGAGGCAGAGTATCTACAAATATTGAGGGCAGACCTTCTGTGTGCAACCCTAACTTTAGAAATGTATCAATTATCACTGCCAGGCATGTCAACAAAGATGCTATCAATGTGCTAGGTGAACAGCGGTTCGCTGCGGAGCACAATCTTAAGTTGACCATGTTCTACTGTGAAGATACAGTGGCACCAATTGCAGATTTTGATGAGGTGAGGGGCAAGAAGCGAGCCACAAAGGTGCAGCTGGAAGAAGGTGTTCAGCGCATTCTTTGGGAACAACCTGCTTGTTCCGTTGAGAAAAAAATTCCAGCCAAGCTGAATCTGTGCAAAGGTCTGCCTGTCATGTTGAGAGACAACAGTGCAACCGAACTGTGTATGACAAATGGTCAGGAAGGATTTGTATATGACTGGGTGGCTGCAGTTGGATTATATGGCCAACATGTATTGGATGTTCTGTTTGTCAAGTTGAAGAGTCCACCAGTTGATGTTCAGTTCGACGGTTTGCCAGTCAATGTGGTACCCATTCTGAGGACTGCCTCACACACATGGTGTGAGCTTCCTTCTGGCAAGTGGTTACATGTCTCTAGAAGTCAAGTCGAGATTACAGTCAACTATGCTATGACAGATTTTGCTTCTCAAGGCAAGACCAGGGTTCATAATGTGGTGCACTTGAATGACACTACGAGCCACCAAGGGTATTATACTGCTCTCTCTCGGAGCGCCACTGCAGCTGGCACCTTGATATTACAAGCTTTCAATCCTGCAATTATATCCGATAAGAAGTGCTCTGGTGCTCTGCGCCAGGAGTTCCGGGACATTGAGCTCCTTGATGACATAACTCGTCTACAGTTTGAAGGTAGACTTCCAGCATCTGTGACTGGTGAAACTAGACGAACTCTGATACATGCATTCAGGCAGCATAAGTCTGACTCATATGTTCCCCAGCATGTGCATAGTGCAATTCGCTGGAATAGGAAGCAGCCATATGTTGAGCCAGATTTCAGTAACCTGGAGTGGAGCATAATACCAACTCAGCAGATGAGAAAATTTCTTTCGGATGACTTTGTTGAGCAGATGAAGGAGAAAACTGAACTCTGGAAGAATGGAGAAACTGAACCAGTTAAGGCAGAGGTGACACCAACACCCGTCGGGAAGCCTAACACTTCGCTTGGCAAAACATTGAAACATGGCCTACACGAGGAGTCAACATCCAATGCTGTTTCGATGAAAAAATGTGTTAAGACTACGGCAAACACAGACAATGCAGACCACCCAGCTGCTCACCACCTTGTACCCATTGGTTGTCAGTGGAGTGACAATAGTTGCGCTTACGATACCGTGATTTCCCTTCTGTACAACATATGGTTGGATAGGCCTCGGACGGTCCTCCCACTTCCTGAATTAGCTGGTGGTCTTTTCCCTACTCTTGTCAAGTGTTTTGAGCAAGTCGAACATAGCCAGGCAAGGCTAACTGATGTCCGTAACTACTTGAGGCAGTACTTGTGCATGCAGAGACCAAACAAGTTTGTGTATGGAGAATACGCCTCCATATCTGCCATCCTAGATGTCCTCCTCAGTGCTGACAGCAGTCAGGTTGTTTTGTCCTACAGCTGTGCGGCTGGGCACTGCAGGTCTGTGTCCTCTGGTCCTCATGCCAGCTTCCTGGTATCTTTGGAAAGCTCCAACAATGACTCTGTGTCTGCATGGTGTTCGAGTCAGGGCTCAGAGACACGTCGTTCGTGTACAGTGTGCACCGAGAGGGTAATGGTTAAACAGATGTACAAGTACCCACCTTACTTTGTTGTGTTCGACTTTGCTGCAGATTCTTTACATATTGACCGAGAAGTTCAGTTGACTGTACTTGGAACCAATGTACCTTACTATCTCAAATGTATCATATACCATGGTAGATCTCATTTCATCGGTAGGTACATTGATGTGACCGGACGGGTTTGGGTGTACGACGGGATGTCTAACTCAGGTATCATGGAATATGACACCAGCAGTCCAAGCTTTGATTTGACTGAGTGCAGGCAAATGGGTGCCATTGCTGCTGTGTATGTCCGATCACCAAGAGTTCACATTAGATCTGGTTAAGAGCACTTCCCGCTGAATTGCCTGCAAATTCTGGGGCTTTGTTATGTATATACCACAGTTAAAGTATCTTGAATAATTATAGTGGTTGTTTCCAGGGCATGGGATGGGTAAGGAGAAAAGACACGGGACCCGTACATGCCATGCAACGCATTGGCCCACACCCCCAAGTAACAGTACAAGACTCACCTAAGTTTAAACTGTAGCTACATGGTGGGAGAACCAAAATATCGTGTTAGAAAATCATAGCCAAAGTCTGGCTACACTCAGTGGGAGAAAATATTTATTTCTTGCGAAACCCGCGTTAGAAACTTGTAGCCAAACCCTGGCTACGATAATTCACTTGTGAACCCCGTGTTAGAAATCGTAACCAAACTCTGGCCACACTCTATGATAGTCTACACGCATGCCATAGCCAGACTCTGGGTACGATAATTTCATTATGAATCAATTTATCTTATGCGGAGATAACCAAAATATCACGTTAGCAAATCGTAGCCAAAGCCTGGCTACACTCCCCCATTTTACGCCACTTTATTAGGTTAAACCTAATTTGCAAGTATGGAATTCTTCAAATCTTGTTGCATATATCCCATGTATACATACTAATAATGTACTTCACAAATTCTGACGGTGTTTGGCGGTCCCGTTTGTGAGCAATGAGGCACACAAATTGTGTCTGACCGTCATGACCATCATGAGCACTTGATTGACGGTCAGTGACAGTCATGACCATTAAAGGTTCCCACGCCATGCTAGGGAAATCTGAAGGACATCGCAGGCTGTGTCTACCACGCTGAACACTGGTGAGTACTCCTCCAGTGACTGTTGTGACTCTCCATGACCGTCAAGTAAGCGCCGATGACCGTCAGATGTTCTCATGCATTCTCCGTTGTCTGAGGTTCCCACACCCTCTCCATTAGAATGAATGTATTGTAATTGGATATAGACATTTAAATCAGCGCCATATTCTGTGCATATTTCCCTGAACCGACACATAGTGAACACCCTAATCCCTGAGATCACATGAGGAGGAAACTTGCTCAGTTGCACCGGAATTCCCAAGCAAATAAGCGCCCGTTGACCGTCACATTGACCATCGACCATCACATTGACTGTCACATTGACCGTCATGTTGACCGTCAATCTGGGCGCCTAATGACTCAGGAAAACTGGAGCCTATCCACTGAGTCCTGGCCTAGGAGATATTCCCACAGGCAAGAAACAACCAAATCCGCTCAGAGGGCCTTTTTTTTGTGAATACAAGGGCAGGACTTGCTCCAATTACTTAGGTATACAGAGTAAAGTTGCTCAGAATAATAAAAGACATAAAATACAGAAACTCCGGAGCAATTTGGAACAGTTTGAGGTAGGAAAAAGGTGCAAAAATGCGAAGTTTACCATGTAGTAGTGAAATACTGAGCCAAGGATTGATTTTCATGACTTGCTTGAGTGACAAAAAGTATTCAGAATGGGAAATTACATAGGATACAATTGAGCCGACTTCACTAGCACTTTTTGTTGCTAAGTTAGACAGGTAAAAATGGGAAGTTTAGCAAGAAATCATGCAGTACTGCCTCAAGAATTGATTTGCAGGACTTGCTTGAGTGGGGGAAGTTGTTCAAAATGTGGAAAAACATAAACCTGAATTGGTCCGAGATTAGTTACACTCTCCATGATCATCTGAGGTTCTCACGCATTCTCCGTTGCATAGCCATTGACGGTCATGACCGTCACGACCATCAAATAAGTGCCGGTGATGGTCGCGATGGTCAGAAATTCCAAGTCAACTACAATGGCGGGGAGCTATATATCTTGTTGTATGATAGAGCTACTTTTATCTTTGACATTATCACCCATACCCGTACATCTCGCTGCACCAGTTTTTGTATCCTCCTTGTCAAGTCCGGTCTCAGTGAAGAAAACACCTCCTCCAATGCATCACTTGCGTATTCTGTGTACCGAGCAATTCTGGAATGCATGTAATTCTATCCACTGAGTCCCGGCCTAATGCTGGGTTAGGCCGACCCAAAATCACATCATTTTGGATGCCCTCAGCACATTTTTTTACTTATTGTATCACAATTTGTACTGGAGATGAGCCTAGGATCATATAAATACACATTATGTACTACCGAACAGCTTAGATTGAGAGTTAAGTGGTATAAACTTGAAGCGTTAAAGCTCACGAACGTGAGCTCTAACGCAATTCCACCCCCGATCATCCATTCAATCCCATTCTCAAGCTTGAAATCAGACGTACCACACAAATTAGGGCTTTTATGGCCTTGGGATCTTAGGAGGTTGAGGCTTCGGGTTTCGGTATACGAGTGACTCTCGTTGCTTAGGTTAGGTCAGTGTGCAAAGTCACGGAATTAGCATGGCCTATGAACCTCAGTATTTTGCTGAAGTCGGGCTAAGTCGAAAATAACGACTGTGACGGACCCCGCCGGACCTAGACTGGCTTTTCTACATATAATTGACTTGAATTTGATTTTGTGGGTCCCGCCTAGTTATCGTAAGAATCAGGTCAAAACTAGTCCATTGGCGTCAAAACTCGGTCTTTTAAAGTCACCCAAAGTCAAAGTACGTCAAGTCAAGAGTCACCCAAAGTCTGCTTCAGTCAATGGCAGTCAGAATTGGTCAATATCAGTCACATTCAGAGTCAATATGGCAGTCGAAATAAGGTATCTTACGGTCAATGAAGGTCAGGGTCAGTCACAGCCAGTCGTCCAAAATCACACAAGGTCGTTAATTCAAGTCGATATAAGTCTTCTGCCATCTGTTTGCAGTCGCCAGAAGTCAAAAGTGTCTTAGAATGTAATTGTCCCACAGTTAATAAAAGTCTTCCACGGTCGGTTGTCGAGCCGAAACTGTTAATTTAAGTCCTATTGCAACAAGTACAAGTCGCGCTTAGGTCAGTTCAAGTCCATTGACAAAGTCATCGATAGTCATTAAATGTCATGTAGAGTATACAAACGGTAAGGCGAAGTAAAAAAATGGCGAAGCAAGATCATAAAATGGAAGAACAAGGTCATCGGAAGGTAAAGTAAGGTCATAAATCGGTCATTATAAGTAAGGAAAAATAGTAAGTAAGGTGGTGGCTGAAAGTCGTAATGGTCCTTGCGAGTATGAAAAAGCTGGGGAAGGGGGGAATTGCGGCTTGCGAATATTAAGAGCCCAAGCTGGCGGTGCTAGCGATGATACGGGGTACTTGCGTGAGGTCTTGCGACACATCGGCAGAAGAACTCGGCGGGGCGGCGGCAGGCTGATTGGCAGCGGATTTGGCGGATTTGGACTTGGACTTCTTGGGACCACGCTGTGAGAGTTGGTGCGTTCATCTTGTTAATCAGGAGTAGAAGACGACCTACCTTTGCAAGAATTTCGTCAAGATCGGTGATTGTTGGACGAGCAGATTGCTGGAGCGCCACAAGGGAGGATACACCTGTTTTTCATGGGAATTAGCACTAAAAAGGAACCTGGGGAGGGCAACTTACATGTTGCCTTGTTCAGCTTGCTGATGTTGGGGATCTGTTTCTTCGCAACCAAAGTCTTGAGCTCATTGACAGTAAGCGCCTGAGGACGTCGAGTGAGAACGTTGATATGCATGATGAAATTAGTAGACTCACCATTAGTTTACTTTGAAGTAAACTATCAACGTCGGCCTGCAATTGCTTCGAAGCACCGTCCGCGAGCTGGGTGTCGTCATCTTCTGCCAAGGGCCCCATCCCATCACCAGAGCCATCATTACCAGTACCTGTGGCAGTAGGTTGCGCAGGCTCGACGGCCATGGGTTGTGCGGGGTCTACGATGGCCGCCCGAGCCTTGCCTTTGTGGAAGGGCCAGAAGGAAGTTAGTTCTGCTGGGTAAAATTGAATGAACAATAGTATTACCCCTCCCGATCGCTTCCAAACATCGTAGAGCGTCGATATTATCCGGTCCAAGTAGCTATCACTGAGATAGCTCTGAGGTCTTGGACTGACGCTCAAACATAGATAACGGGCAGCTTTGCAGGTTGTTAGCGCAGCGGCAATGAGCTCGCGGGCCGTCTCTGTACTGCCGACATCCTGCCATGAAGTGATGGCGCCGCTGATGGTGAGATCTCCACCCGACCACTGCCAGTGTCCCCAGGATGCTAGTAAATCATCTTCGTTCTCGATACAGGCGGGATCTGCAGTCTGGACCCGCTTCAAGAGGGCGATCGTGTTACTCGACAGAAAGCCATGGCCGCCGTGCGTGGGTGATTGTTCCATTCCGGCCAAAAGTTCCATTGCAGGATCAATTACATCGGCAGGAAATTTGAATTGAGGGCTTTGGAGGGTTCCTAGAAATCATGTTAGTTAGAATAGGGTATCTAGGGCTCAACCTACGACGAAGATTTTCAACTTCGTGCTTGTGAGTTATTGAGTAGTATAGCAGGTTAGATCACTTACAGCCATCATCCGTTGATATCATGGACAGGGAGCCCTTGGCAGAGGACACATGGGAGGAGAGAGGGCTGTCAACTAGAGACGATGGTGGCAACGTTGCCGTATTCGTGCCTAACATGCCCATCGAACTTTGATTCTCAGTCGAGGCGGGCGAGGCGGCGCGAGAGGGAGAGGCGGGTGGGCTGCCTTGCATTGCTGGTGCGGTGGTGACGGTACCCATGTGCAATGGCCTGGCGGGCTGTTTGAACATCAACTTGGGGGGCCTCTGCTTGGAGGCTTCTAAGAAATTGAATTAGTACCGCTGATGGAACCATTATTCACCCATGGATCACTTACCGGTTCGACCTCGCTTTGAGGGGCCTGATTTCAATGGCGAGAGAGGGTTTGCGGGCCGTTTGGCTTTCTTGGGCAAGATGAAAACGACGTCAAGAGTTTGTTCGTCGTCGCTACCGAGGATGCTAGCGAGCTCGCCAGTGGACTGCTTTTTCATTGCATTGGCCGCCTTCTGCCTGAGACCTAGGACAGACTGTCCAAGCAGATGGTCTGCCTTCCAGTGAGCGGAACAGAGACCTACTTCCTTGTGCCGCTGCTCAAGCAACACGATGGAGCCATACCAGAGCCACGGGCACCTGCTTCGGTAATACTCCCGGATATGCCTAATGTCGACTGCAACCTTGTCTATCGGGTGGCGTGCAAGAATTCGACTGGCCAAAGCGGCGGCAGTCCTCTTGATAAGCTTGACTAAGTCTGCATCCAATGTCTGGCCTTTGGAGTCCCTAAGGGCTTTGTTGAACGACGGGCGGTAGGAGTTAGTGGCGCTGAGACCAGCTGCCGACCCCGCTTCTTGGGCAGATTTGAATGTCCAGAGCACGGTGTCCGGCAGGCTTGGGGGTTTCTCAACAAGGTCGCCCTGGGACAGGTAGACACTGTAAGCGGCCCGTAAGTCTTCGCCCTCGTCATCTACGTCAATCCCCGAAGTGGTACCCAATCGCGAAATAGAGTCGCTGGGACCCAGGGATGAAGTAGACGGATGTAGGCTGGAATGGGACAAGGTGTTAGTTCGTACAGGGACAAGGCAGAGCCAACGCACCGTGACGGCATGTTAAACTGAAACTGTTTCAATTCAGTTACTAGCTCTTCCAATTGCGCGACCTTGTCCTGAAGCTTGAGGACACTGCGCCGCAGGATGATGAACTCCTCCCAGGCATAGTTCGCGTCTGGCTGACTATGGTATGCAGTAGTTTCTTCATATCGTCGCACGGGGGCAGCAGGAGGACCAGAGGGGTAGTGTGCTGAGTTGCTGGGATCTGTTTGATATGGAAAGGGAGCGGCGCCATAGGAGTTGGCTGGGGGCAAAGCCTTGGCAGAATGCGGGGTGCAGAAGTCCTGTACTTCGAGGGCAGAGTGTTCATGAGCGTGATTTCGTGTTGGCGTTTGAATAGGATGGGTGATTCACTGAGGAGGGGCGTGAAAGACACGCTCTGGGGGTAACGACTCGTCCCGAGGGGGCGCGAAAGCCTGAGTACGAGGAAGGCCGGGCTCGACCCAAGGACCGTACGCAGGGAGGCCACGGGGAACGGCACCTGTCGTAGAGCCGCCGTGAAAGACGGTCGAGGCGGGAAGAGGCCGCCGGAGGCGTCGTCCGTTGAAAGAGTATTCAGACATTGGTTAAGAGGTCGAGAGGGAGTGGTCTGAAAAAAGCGGAGCGAAGGAAAGAGAATCATGTGATCAAGGGGGAGAAAAGGGGGGGAGAAAGATACTGAATGAACAGGAAGTATCCACGGCCACTATGCAAGCTAGGGAATGACAAATGAACCTATTGGATGTATAGGTACAAGAGGCAGTCACATCCCCATCACAGAAATAAAGAACATGGCAAACGTAAAGTCTACATGCCTGTGGCCATCCAACATCTCAGAATCCTAACATGGTTACTGCACTCGATTCCATCCCCGTTATGAACGGTACACCAAAGCTTTACGCTTCCTCCTCAGAATCCTAACATAGTGACTGCACTTGTTTCCATTATAGACAACTCACCAAACCTTTTTGCTTCCTCCTCAGAATCCCAACATGGAAAGTTCACTGAACATTTAGACTGCCTCCTCAGAATCCCAACATGGTCACCGCACTCGGTTCCATCCCTGTTACCAACGGCTCACCGAACCTTTATGCTTCCTCCTCAGAATCCTAACATGGTCACCGCACTCGGTTCCATCCCCGTTATGGATTGTTTGTCAAACCTTTATGCTTCCTCCTCAGAATCCCAACATGGACGGCTCACCAAACCTTTATGCTTCCTCCTCAGAATCCCAACATGGTCACCGCACTCGGTTCCATCCCCGTTACCAACGGCTCACCGAACCTTTATGCTTCCTCCTCAGAATCCTAACATGATCACCCCACTCAATTCCATCCCTATTATGGACATAAAGGGCATTGTGAACATGGTGTATACATACCTTATTTTATGAACGGAAAATATTATCTGCTCCCTCAGTTTCAGCCAACCTTTGGGAATACATTATTACTTTTTCAAAAATAGCAGAAGCCAGCCTCATACATTCAAACTACACTACAATTACATATCCCCATCATATACTGACATGGCTGAGTGTTTTCTATAAATGTAAATCCGCTTATGCTTTCCATACGATATGCCAATTAGGTTGTTTATTGACTCAACCTTCATTACCTCCAATGTGTTGCTTTGTTTTCCATATGTCACAGCGTCCCAGTGGGTTTCCACATCAATGAAGGGATGATAGACAACCAGCAGCACATTCCTGATTGTATCCTCATAGAAGGACAGTGCTTCCCCAAACACCTGTCTTCCATGTTCAACTGCCTGTGAATTGACTCAGTGTTCTGCATCATTACAAAATGGATTAGATCTTTACCTCAAAATATTTTGCTATGTAATTTCGCATTCTGAACACTCTTTGTCACTCAAGCAAGTCATGAAAATCAAATCCTGAGTCACTATTCCTGTATTTGCTGTTTAAGTTCGCATTTTTGCACCTGACATGCAGACCACTGACCCCCTGATATCACGTGATCTTATGGGCAATGGTTGCTCCGGTTTTCCTGAGCAAATAAGCGCTCGATGGGTTTTCTGTAAGCACATGATCTAGGGGGGCTAGGAGTCATCTTCTGGCTGTACTTCGCATTTTTGCTCAATTTAAACAGCAATCCCTGGTGCTACAAATTGCCCCCCCACATTGGACTTATGTTTTTTTATATTCTGAACAACTTTGTCCACTCAAGCAAGTCATGAAAACAAAATCCTGAGCCAGTACAGCTCATTCTTCCTGCTAACTTCGCACTTTTGAGCCTGTAGCTTGTCCTCAAAATATGCCATCTATATACTGTTAATTTTCTCCCATGTAATTTCGCATTCTGAATACTTTTCTCCACTCAAACATGTCATGAAAATTAAATCCTGAGTCACTAGTCCTGTATTTTCTGTTTAACTTCGCATTTTTGCACCTTTTGACTGCCTTAAAATGACCCTAACTACTTCGGAGTTTTTGCATCTTATGCTTTTAATTATTCTGAACAACATTCCTCTATATACCTAAGCAATTGGAGCAGGTTCTGACCTTGTTTCATTACAAAGGGTGTCATTAGAGCGAAATTTGAAGTCCCTAATATGAGCTACTGACTGTGAGAAACTAATTTTGTGATGAGGTCGGAGTTGTGATGTATTGTAACTGTGAGAAAATGCGAAAACTCAGCTGCCTGAATAGGAAGGTCAGGGGAAAAGGGGAACAGGGGCCCATTAAATAAAACACAAAGATAATTCCACAGCTTCCTCAGATGGTGGCGCAACTCGGCGCAACAACGACCCAGTCCTGAGGGATATATATGGGGAGGTTTGGGGAGCTGTTGCGCCGAGTTGCGCCACTGTTTGAAGTGGCTGGGGCCAGTATGGTAGTTTTGCAGGTAGTAAACGTGCTGCTGGATGATGAGGAAGCGGCGCAACACGGCGCAACAAGTTGTCCCATATACCTTGAGGGTATACCTAGAGATGGGTACTTGTTGCGCCGAGTTGCGCCAATATCCTGGCCGTTGGCACCCGCTTCTCCTTGTACCGAAACAGTATGTGGGCTGTAGCACGAGGAGGAGGGCAGATATCTCCGTAGGAATTTTATCAGTATACTCTCCTAACATGCCCAGACATATTTTGTCACCTAACCCTGGGTCGGGGAGCGACGGTTGCTTCGCTGCGCTCAGCAAGATTCTCGACGAAGAAGGGGGCACTGGAGTGTGGGGAAGCGGCGCAACTCGGCGCGACAAGGTGATTCTTCATCAGAACACCCTAACGGAGGTGTGTGAAGTTGTTGCGCCGCGAACGGAGGAGGTCGACCGATTACACCCTGTAATCCGTCGGATAATATAGATAGGGAACTCAAGGCAAGGGCACAGCAGCTCGCAGAGATTTTCAACCATTGGCGATTTATTGCCTGCTGGGCTGACACGAACTGTCTGCGACTTCCAACCGAGGAACAGGAGCAGGAATTGCTGCAGAAAGGGCAGGAAGTGCTTTTCAAATGTGTTGATGAATTTCTTGAGAATTACATGCATTCCAGAATCGCTCGGTACGCAGAATACGCAAGCGATGCATTGGAGGAGGTGTTTTCTTCGCTGAGACCAGACTTGACAAGGAGGATACAAAAACTGGTGCAGCGAGATGTGCGGGTATGGGTGATAATGTCAAAGATAAAAGTAGCTCTATCATATATAGCTCCCTGCCATTGTAGTTGACTTGCAACGGAGAATGTGTGAGAACCTCGGATGATCATGGAGAGTGTAACTAATGTCGTGAACAACTTCCTCCACTCAAGCAAGTCCTGCAAGAGGCAGTACTGCATGATTTCTTGCTAAACTTCGCATTTTTACCTGTCTAACTTGGCAACAAAAGGTGCCAGTGAAGTCAGCTCAATTGTATCCTATGTAATTTCCCATTCTGAATACTTTTTGTCACTCAAGCAAATCAATCTTTGGCTCAGTATTTCACTACTACATGGTAAACTTTGCATTTTTGCACCTTTTTCGTACCTCAAACTGTTCCAAATTGCTCCGGAGTTTCTGTATTTTATGTCTTTTATTATTCTGAGCAACTTTACTCTGTATACCTAAGTAATTGGAGGACGTCCTGTTCTTGTATTCACAAAAAAAAGGCCCTCTGAGCGGATTTGGTTGTTTCTTGCCTGTGGGAATATCTCCTAGGCCAGCAGTGGATAGGCTCCGGTTTTCCTGAGTCATTAGGCGCCCAGATTGACGGTCAATGGGCGCTTATTTGCTCGGGAATTCCGGAGCAATTGAGCAAGTTTCCTCCTCATGGTTAGGGTGTTCACTATGTGTTGGTTCAGGGAAATATGCACAGAATATGGCACTGATTTAAATGTCTATATCCAATTACAATACATTCATTTTAATGGAGAGGGTGTGGGAACCTCAGACAATGGAGAATGCGTGAGAACCTCCGACGGTCATTGGCACTTACTTGACGGTCAGGCTGACGGTCATGATGGTCAACTTGACGGTCAGGCTGACAGTCATGGAGAGTCACAACAGTCACTGGAGGAGTACTCACCAGTGTTCAGCATGGTAGACACAGCCTGCGATGTCCTTCAGATTTCCCTAGCATGGTGTGGGTGATAACTGTTACTGACCGTCAATCAAGCGCTCATGACGGTCATGACGGTCAGACACAATTTGTGTGCCTCATTGCTCACAAACGGGACCGCCAAACACCGTCAGAATTTGTGAAGTACATTATTAGTATGTATACATGGGATATATGCAACAAGATTTGAAGAATTCCATACTTGCAAATTAGGTTTAACCTAATAAAGTGGCGTAAAATCTTCGCGATCCCGGCAATCACGTATGTCCGGCCCCACTCGTTTGGGTGATGTGAATTTGGGGTGCCTTGCACCATGGCTGCGGATCGCTATCAATCGCGGGGCACTCCCGTAACCGTTGTCTGGGCTTCTTATCCTCGCCATCCCATTATTGCAACTGCGCGTGTGTCAGCTTAGGCACGTCAATGCTGGGACGCCGATGTCGGGCACATTCCTGCAGGTTCTCTTCTTGGATTCGTTCGTCCGTGTGCTAAGCAGGAAGTTCGAGCCTGCTAGTGGGCATGAGGAGCGTGGGGGCGATAATGTAGTGTATTGTTGGGCTGCACTGTTGTCGCGGCAAACAGTTGAGTCTGTGCTGATGGTTGAGAACCGCAATGCTATGGTGCTTACCTGCAGCCCAACCCTCGATCTGGACTATAGGAAACACGACCAGCGATTGCGGTTCGGTTGACGGCGATATCGGACGATCGAGGGTGGGGCTGCCCCGCATTGTAGCGCTCGAACCAACGCCACGTGCACGATCGAGCTCCGCTCCAATCCGTGAGCCGACTTCGGACTTACTGTCCACCTCTCAAACGTACACCACGACGACGACGAGCACGAAGTTGACAGCAACGACGACAAGTGGGATGCAATGGCAGACCCCTTCATGCTCCCCTCCACATCAACGGTTCGCGATAGGCTGAGGACGCAGAAAGGCGGCAGAGACAGGAAGAGTTAGGGAGGCCACGCACCCCCGAGCCCGCCAGTCTTGGCATGGGCTCCGACCTCTTCACCGACGCCAAACCCACACCCCAATACACTCCATCCGCCGAGCGGCTCGACGCGCTCAACAGCCGGCTCCTACTACTCTCGAATCAATTCGAGAGCTTTATAACTCTGACGACGTCCCTACAGGCCCAGCACGATGCCGCGCAATCGACCAACCTCAACCTGCAAGCGAAGGTTGGGACAAAGTCAAGACGTCTCAAAGCGGGCACGACGAGATCCTATCAGCGTCCATCTCGGCTGCCACCTCGGCCGCCTCCACTGTGGTTGCCTCCGCATTCGCAGCCAGGGACGCCCAAACGCCAGCGAAATCGGACGCCGAGAAGGCGACGTTGGAGCAACTGATGGCGGATTGGAAGAAGGCCGTCGATGGGCAGTGGAGTAGCATGCGCGTGGTGTGGTCAGAGGGACAGGCCCGGTTGATGTAGCAGACGTACCGTGGAGATGAAACGAGACGCTGCCGTCGAGCGCTGAGGATTGGCAGCGGGGATGGAGAGAAGAGAGGAGCTAGATGGAAGACGAAGGGGTGGTCCGTCCAGACGAAAGCAGAAGCAGACGGCGACGAACCTTGGAGCCCAGCTCAATCGAGTCTCGCGCGCGCGAGACTGCTCCACACCCCACGCAATCTCCCAATCTCCCATTCCCCATTCTCCCTTCTTCGTTCGCGTCGACGCGCCTCCACGGGTCCACGGCGCATGGTCGGCACGGTCGGGAGTCGGCGCAGCGGGGACAGCGCTCAGTGGACAGTGGACTGTGCAGCTGTGAGAGTGAGAGTGTGTGTGAGGGTCAGCGCGCGTCTGTGGAAAGATGGGGGCTGGCTGACCTTGTGGTTGGGTGCGGCAGTCAACTCGGCGCTGCGGGGGGCGGTGAATCCGGGAATCAATAACAAGGCAGGCGGAGACGAGCAAGGGCCAGCACCCGCCGCTTACTCGCAGTTGTGCTCTGGTTCAAGGCGGGTTCGTCAGTGTTTTGTTCGTCTTTGCGTGCACGAGCTGACGTGTCGCGCTCACAGCACACAGCAGTCATCAGTCAGCCGTTTCGCGGGTCTCGCAGAGACTCTGGGACTCAGCGAACGGTCTACGGTTACGGACACTCGGCGGATACAACGAAGGCGGCGGCGGGGTCGAACTCAAGCACACGAGGTTACTGTTGCGCAAGGCTCACGATTTCGGCCGTCAGTAGTCTGGCCAGGACTCAGGCATCACACGGATATACTACGAGGCGTGCAGCGTGCTGACAGATCAGAGGGGAGAGCGGCGGCACAGTCAGTAGACGGCTCGCGACGAGCTTGTTCGTCGTCAAGTTACGCGGCGGGGCTTCCTCGTTTACCTGTAGATACCCTGTCGTCTCGTGGACGAATAGACCGGTTTGATCTTTCACTGGCTTACTATGCGTGCGCGCCTGGCAGTCCAAGCTCAATATACGGGCTAACTAAGTCTGTGCGCATCGATCAAGTCAGTTCGCGGCCAGGATAAGTAGGGGGGAGTGATGTTCACTCACATTGTAATACGTTACGAGTGGCGTCGAGTAGTGTACATAATACATAGCGGATGTCTGACGATGCGAGCGTGTGAGTCAGCGTGAATATGATGAGATTGCGAGAGTGCAGAGTTACCAGAGACGGTGGGGTGGTGCGCAGGTAATCTCCGTCGTTTGGTGATGTTCGAGAGCGTGGTAGTGACGAATAATAAATAATATCGACGCGGATCGAGGTGAGTGAATATCGAGCGTTCGTGGGATCGAAAACACAGACTTACTGCGTCTGCTAGAGGACTGGACGACTGGACTGTGATGTATCAATGATTAGTGAGTGTTCTTGGCTTTCTATTCGTCTGCGTTGTGAACGTTTTACCTCTTCTCTTTCGTTGTTCGGGGTTGCCTTGAGTGTTCGTGCGTCGCCTGGCACCTACTAAGCACCCCGTCTCACTTGCTTCCTCCCCGCTCTGTCTCGATGAGGCCGTGGACCTGATGCGCGCGAGCGATACTTCCACGGTTTCGTTGGGCGAGTAGAGGTCGTCACAGTACTCATAGTCGTCTCGTGCAGCGCAGCGCCCCCCGTCGCAGCCTGCTATACCTCATTGTGATCGTGGACTTGATGCGCGTCAGCGGTACTTCCACGGTTGCGTTGGGCGAGTAGGCACGATCGCTGCGGTTGGATGCGACTTGAATCCCACTCCTGCATCCCCGAAATCGTGGCATCCTATTTCTTTGCGATGTGCTCGTCATTTAGTTTCGATATTTGATTTGAGCGAGTGTGTCTACTCACCGCGCCCTTTCGTTCACTGCTCTGGCCCTCGTTGTCCTCGATGCGCTTTGTGGGACAAGCGGTTGGACTTGGGTGCTTCGGTTAGGGTTGTCGGCTTCGTTTGTTCGCGCCCATTCTTTCTTTCACGTTGACGGTAGATTTGCGAGCTCGACGTTGACTTGGTTCGATCTAGCGCGTTTCTTCTTTTCGTTTGCTTTCCTTTTTCACCACATTTCGTTTCCTTCCTCCCTTCTTTTGTCTCACTTTCTGGTAGCCTGTGCCGTGAACGACCCGCGTAGACGGCTTGGGGTACGTGTCGTGTTCGATCATAAGCGCATGATCTGGTGCATTGTCTATCGTGGCTTGCCGACTCGTGGACTCGTGTGTGTGCGCGTTCCCGGTCATTTTGTGATCCTCGCGAGTCGGGGTTTTGCGCTCGACGGCCTTGGAGAGCCCAGTTCCAGCTGCACGCAAAAGCGTCATTTCAGCTCAGGCACGCTGGGGAAATGAAAGCGTACTTACTGTGCCCCGCACGCGTTCGCTTTCCCCTTCTCATTTCTCGTTCCTTCCTTCTTTCGATCACCCGATCTACCTTATTTCTTCGGCTTTTCCCTCTTCGCGAACTTGTGTATTTGTGCGTTCCTGGCTATCTGGCAATGGGCAACGTCTCCGCATGGCGAAGCTTTGCGTTCGACGGCCTTGGGTGTGAGTCCCGTACAAGCGACGCGAATATGCGGGGAGATCGCTCCTCGATTCTTCCCATCTCGCTGTCCCATTTGCAGCTTACCCGTGTGCGTGTTCGTGTTCACCCGGGTTTCGGTCGTGTGCCTGCTGCTCAGGAAGCGTCTCGCGTGTTCGTTGAACGAATGTGTCCACAGCCCATCTTCTCGCGTGTCCGAGTGCCCTGAGTGTGAACTTGCGCGTCATCACAGTTCGGGGATAAAACGAAGAGGGGGGAGACGAACGATCGTACTCCCTTTGCCTCTCGTTTCTTTTCACTTCCTTACGTTCTGCCGTTTTCTCATTCCCCATTTTCTTGTTCCCGTTCTCCCGTCCGTTCGTTTCCACGCGCAAGGGTGGCGCTCAGGCTGCGTGTCTCACTCGTCATTCGCGCCATGAGACCATTGTTCCGTTGTGTGCGCTGTCTCGCTATTCCCAACCATTTGCGACTTGACGCGGCGTCAGGGAGTCAGGGCCACTGTCGGCGGGCTGCCTCTTCTGCGTTCTGCTGTGCCCTGTAGATGTAGCTGGGTGGAGATGGAGATGGGTGGCCGGCGCCGAGCCAGCCCCCCCGCTTACTCTCCGTACTGCTAACCTCTGCTAACATCCCGTGTGTGTGTCGATCATGATCGAGTGACCTTCACATCCCTTCCTCGTGTTCTCTTTCTGCTTTCGTCGTTCAACTCCGTGTCTTTCGTTCGTTTAGTTTAGGCGTCAATGTTACGCGTGTTCCCCATTTCTCTCCACCGCACTCCTACAACCTCAAAATGACGCATGACACCGTCTGGTTCTGGTTCTCTCGTCCCCGCAAATACGGAAAGGGTGCTCACCAATGGTATGCAGCCGCGCTTTCCGTCGTCATGCTCACTGAATCATACCACGCCCAGCCGCCTCTGCGCCCATCAAGCTGGTCCTCATCCGCAAGTGCGGTATTGACCTCTGCCGCCAGTGCTTCCGAATCCAATTTGTCTACGAATTTAAATAAAGCCACTTTATACAACGTAGTTTCGAGGGAACAATAACTACAAGATGACGGCGTGCAATACATCCCTTTACATGCCATAGCCAAAGGACACCCTCTGGTACGGATCAGCGATGGGGCCAGCAAGGCCAACACCAGCAAAGGGGCTCACGCCAGCAAAGGAATTCGAGAATCCGCCGAGATGGGCAGGTGCAGGCAATCCAGACGCATGCGGGGACCCGCCTTGAAGGACATAGCCATCGAGGCCTTGCGCTTGGAGCGAGTGCATCTGCGGCATCAGATGGACCGGGCTATACGACGCGGCGCCCTGCTGCATCTGGTACATGCCGTTTTGTGTAGCGTAGAGCTCCGCCGAGGGGTGCATCGCCTGAGGAACGTGGCGCGCTGCTCCGTGTCCGCCGATACCTAGAGTGGCCAGTGCCATGGTGAGCGCCTGTTGATTGAAACCGTGCAATTGATCCATCTGCTCACGTTGCAGTTTGTTCTGAATGCGTTTGCCGTAGGGCGGATTGCGGATCAGGGGAAGGACAGGACGAATCCCTTCGACGAGGAGTGCGCGCTGGTTGGGTTCGGCCAGAGCTGCTGTATGGGCGTGGCATGGCCTTCCCATCACCTCGTCGAGCGTGCACTAGCCCCTGACGGCTGTAGGACAACATAGACTAGTGGCGTCAAATATTCTGGTACAAGCACCGAGATCTACACGTCTAAAGGCTGAGTGCGCCTCCCGTCTCGCAGATGGGGTTCTTGTATATGTGTAGGCAAAGGACATGTTATGGATACAAATACAAAGACAGACTGTGACTATTGGCGTTGTTGAAGAAAGCGATGTCGGAGTGCAATGCGGAGGTAGAGAGAGGAAGGACTAGCTTAATTCCCTAATTCGTTGTCCGTGGACTTGCAGCCCAGAGCCTGGAGAATGGCATGGGTTTGTCCATCCTCATTATCGTCTGCGATCGCGCCGTCAGGGCAATAGGCGTGGTAGTATCGCCTCCGTTGATGCGCTGAGAGATGGAGAACAGTAAAACGATCACGAAGAACGTCAAGCTGGTATACGACAAGGAAACATTAGAACATGTGCGCACACAATAGACACAGACATACGTTCTGAGGGGGCAGCTGGTTGTTTGCGAAGGGGACGGTGAGGAGGGGGGTGCGCAGACCAGCTGACTGCATCGAGTTCAAAATCTGCACGGACAGATGAGAAGGGGCAATGGATTATTGGATATGGAGTGAGCTAACCTTTGCGACGGCCCCATGATTTTGACGCATCTCGGTGGAGAGACGGTCTAACTTGTTGTCAATTCCGACTACTCTCGCGTCGATTGCGGCTACTCTCGTGTCGATTGCGGCTACTCTCGCGTCGATTCCCGCTACTCTTGCATCAAGTGCAGCTATTGCAGCAGCGTTTGCTTGGGCGGCGGTAGCAGCTTCTGCCCTGGCAGCATCGATGGCAGCTAGGAGCATGGTTTGACTTTCTTGCATTTGTTGAAGGATGGCTTGCAATCCATGTGGCTCTGGTTCTGGCTCTGGTGCTTCGTTAAGGCTCGCACGACATAAATTATGTTCCAAGAGAACGAGTTTGCCAACGGTTTCGTTTGAATAGGTGTCTATCATGGCGATCAATATTGGACAAGCAGCCGTAATTGGGTGTAATTACCAGAGACTTGGAATAAATCGCGTTTCAAATGGAAAACATTTGAAAGGTCGCGAATTGTGGGAGGATTTGAGATGGGAGGGGGACGAAAAAGACCCTTGAGCTCGTCGTCTGGTGGCCATTCGAAGGCTGCCATTGGTGATGGGAGAGACGAGAAGAGCTTGCGTATGTACTGCCAAATACAAGTACTGCCAAATACAAGTAAACTAGACCCCGTGATCGTGCCGACTTCCCACGGTGACCATCCGACTATAAACTATGCATTGAAAATGGCATCTTCAATTCATAGGCAGTGGAGATCGCGTATGCACACGCTTCCTTGCTGTATTATTGGCAGTCAGTTGATTTAAATTCAGTGTGTTTGCTAAGTCACACATCTAGCTATTTGCGCGAGCCAGGACTGGGGGAGGATGGATATAATCGTCGTTGGTAACTTTGTGACAGCCAGTCAAGTGCAGCGGAAGTGGTACACGAAGATTATTGGGAAGATTAGCGGTGGTGACTATAGGCTTGGGGCGATAAGTGCCAACTCTGGTTCATTGGTTCTGTGTGTTCTGATGAGCGATGTGTAGAATTCTGCCAACATCATTGTGCAGAATCGCATGACTGGGCAGCTTGAGGAGGAGAAGATGCAAGTCTACGTACGGCTTGGGATACGTCTGCTTTACAAGGTGAGTATCATGCACTGCCTTCCCCGCTAATGATGTAGACTAACCTCGGTTTTCTGTCTAGGGTGCGAAGAGTCAGATGGAGGGTGGTAGAGGTAAGTTAGCTTCCCATCGAATGTCTTTTTCTGCTAAGCATGCCGTTCAGCTCGTGGGCTCCTGGGGTCTCTATCTATCAAACAAGGATTGACGTATGACGCCCCTCAATCAGCGGCCGATATCCCAGGTTTTATCGTGTTCCATAACCTCAAAGTCGACAAAATCTCAAACCTGTTAGACTCGTTTAGTGAGTTCTTCTCCCTCCTACGCATAGCTTCTCGAAGCATCTTGCATACACTATGGGCTTCGGGGATATCAGCGACGGCAGGCAATCGGCGCCCAGCCCTCCAAAGCCTACCATCCCGACTCGAACACCTCATATCCATATCATACACGGAACGCAGATGGTGTACTCTATTTACAACATTTGTGATGCCAGACCTCCGTTCTGTACGCCATCGATCTTGAACGCCCTCGACGGCGAGTCCTTGAGTCCGTGGCCTCTCATGAGTCCCCGCAGGCCCTGTCGCACGCACCCCAAAGGCAGCACGGTTATATGCGTCCAGCTTCAAGGTGTCACAGTTAACGGCGTCCAATTGCAGCACATTCATGCGCAGACCTGCCTCGTGAGTCGTGTAGCTTCGCGACGCCTTCGGCTTGCTCGCGGGGATCCCTCAACTACTGCACCTCTAGTGTCTCCATCGTGCTCGGAGAACCGGCGAGGATAACACTTCCTACCCCACGATGGCCCCAAAGCTCAGACGCCCGAGGTGTCCATGTAAGCCATTAATAATGGCCAGTGGATTCTCCTGCGACGACCATTATAATTCATGGGCTTCTCAGAGTCGTGTACCCGGTATTATAATGGCTGGGGTATGTCATTATAGTGTAGCCTCGTCCGCCTGGGTACGCATTGTAATGTAATGCCGCTGGCAGCACTTCTGGATGAATTATAATGTGAACGCAGGATACTTACCTGCTCCGCTATATGCATTATAATGCCATCACCGTCCGGCATATAATAATGCGCACATGGGAAGACGGGCGTCGAACGGCATTATAATGCTGGTACGTCTCAGTAAATTACAATGTGAGCATGGGAGACTTACGTGCCCCATTGGATGCATTATAATGCCATCGTTTTGTGGTGGTATACTATAAATGTGCGCGCGGGAATGCGGGCGTCGCCTGGCATTATAATACTGGTACGTCTCAGCGAATTACAATGCAAACATGGGAGACTTACGCACCGACCAGCAGAATTCAGGCCTATACGTCCGTAGGATGTATCAAATGACCGTACCTACAGTTCCATCGTGATACATCAACGAGTCTACTTACAGTTGGCTACTGAGTGATACATCACACAGTCAATACACGTGCTGTTCTGCTCAAAATGGTAGTCCCTCACGTGTGACGGCGCTTAGGTTCCTCGTGTTGGTTCCCTTGTGCCCACCCCGCGCCCGCCTCCTTAAACAGGACAGCATCGCGCCCATCAAGATCTGGATCTGGCTGGCTCTTCATTTCCATTGCGCCAACCACCTCCTTGGCAACCTACTCTCCAATCTAGGTATATCTAACATACACGTAATTAAAACATACCTCAAAGTGATCTTTCGAATGTTTCCCCTCCCTCCTTGCCCCCTCCTCCCTTGAGGTGAGTCAGTGACCTGTATGGGTATGGAGTATCCCACCCAATAAACTCGCGTCCGTGGCGTCGTTTGCTAGTTCCTTGTTATCCTTGTTATCTTCGTTAGTTTCTCAGATTCATCCCGATCCTGCAGCAATGACATCATTTTCTCAAACAGATCATTCCTTGGAAATTGGTTCAGCCATCTTGGCCATTGCGCGCTTATTCAATGGGTTTTACCCATTGCCCATGCTTCAAATCGTGTGACCTGTTTAGGGGCCTCCTATCTCCATTTCCTCGCTATCCAGACGACATAGACTACAGGTGCAGAATTATAATGGTAGCCCGGGCCGTGTCGTTATTCGTGTACACAAAACACTCCATCCTCTAAGTGTATAAGTTCGGCGCCATCTGGACTTAGTCTGGACACATTCAATCTTGTTGATGCGTACTCTGCAGATCAACAACATATCTGTCTATCCATGACATTTACGTACACTTGCCACAATCGCGAGCATTCATTGTTTGAGTCTGGCTTGCAAGAGCGCAAGTGCGACCTTCCTCACAAGTATTTTGGACCAAAGTTAATGAGCTTGACATTTGAATACTACTAACACTAAGGTACGTGATATGTATTGAAACAGGGGGCGGGGCAAGGTGGACAAGCAACGAGCAAGACGTAGGATTACAACGCATAATTACGAACATCAAAAACTATGTGCAGGAAAGGGTACAAGAATTCTGCGGGCAAAATTTACAGAGAAGGCATGAGAAAGAAGTATAGGAATACTGTGATCAAGATGGGGGCGGCACAAGTGGGATATACAGAAATGATACAAGTAGGATATGGTAACAGAGCAAATGAAAGCTCATTTCTTCTTTTGACTGACGATCTGCTTCCGTGTTCCCTTTGATGGGGGAACATACCCCACATCTGCCAGGTGAGGAGGTAGATTGGAGATGCGCTGCGGCCGGCTTGTGGCTGGGGCAGCTGAAACCTTCTGTTGTGTATGTTTCTTCGGGGCAGGGGGTACCTGTTCTTCGTTTGCTGCAAGCTCCTTGCACCCCCGTTTCTTGTTTTTTTGGCGGAACTGGTACGTTCTCCTTCTCCGGTAGTGGCTCGGAGGGAGACCCTGGGATGGCGGGGGGCGGTGCTAAAGGCTCGGCACCTGCAGACAGAGTCGCCGCCACAGGTGTCACGGCGGGAGCAGCTGGAGTCGACGTGGAGGAGGAAGAAGGTACCATTGTGCTGGCTGGGGTGACGACAGTAGGTGAAGAGCTTGGCGGTGGGAGTTCTGCCGGAATCGATGCTGGCAAAATCGTAGGAATCATTGGTGGGGCAGATGCCACGGGAGTCGTAGGAGTTGGAGTTGCCGCCGAAGGCGATATTGCGGGATTTGTTGGTGCCATGAACCCCGCATGAGCCGTTGGGGATAGGGACACTTCTGAAGACAAAATTGGGAGGATCATTGGCGTGCTGGATGCTTCGTGCATCATCGAGGATAGACTGACAGTCACAGGCAAGATTGCAGAGGGCGTTGGCATGGTGGAGGCTGCGTGAATCGTCAATGATGGAGTCTCTGTTGCAGGCAGAATTGGGGGGATTGTTGGTATGGTGGAGGCCGCGGAAATTGTCGAGGATGGAATTGCCGGAACAGGCAAAATCGGGGTGATCGTTGATATGGTGGAAACCACGGGAATCGTGGAAGATAGAGCCACCGATGAAGGCAAAATTGGGGGAATCGTTGGTGTGATGGGGGTCGGGTGAATTGTTGGGGATAGAGTTGCTGTTGCAGGCATGACGGGACCTGTCGTGGGTGACGAAGATGGGACAAGCTTGGCAGGAAGTGCTGAATGAAGGGTAGGTTGGACGGGTGGCGGGGTTCCCGTTGAACTTGCTGGCATCCCTACGGCTGGTGTGGCGGATGTGATGGCCAGAGTTGACGGAGAACCCATGGCCGGAAAAGGGTCTCTAGAAGCTAGGAATTGAGGGAGAGGCTGCGTGGGTAGAAGTGGGAGATGGTAGGTTGGCTGATGGAAGTTCGTATTCCAGAGTGGGGCTTCATTATCCCACTCTTAGCTTGGCGAAGGGAGGCGAACACTCTCATGGATTTGGTACACGGTTAGTGACGAGGAACTCTCAGATCCCGGCGAGGTTCAGGCCTGTAAGTCTTGATTAGAGATTTGCAACTTATACTTATGGCTCTACTTAGGTCTTCGTGTCGAATGGGTTAAAGCTCGTGCTCGAGCGGAGAGATGGCGGGAGGAAGTCCTGTTACTTGAAGAAGAAATGTGCCGCGCCATCGCCTACTGCTGCTGGAAAGCTGAATATTGGGAGAACGTATCACGCATCAAATTGTCAGACGACGCCTCGGTGCAAGAGGGGGGGAGAGCATACGCACACCGTCAGGCCAACTACGAACGACGCCGAGCTGCACAATGGGAGAGCAAGTGGTGCGCCATTCGTGATCGCGCATCGTTGGTCGTTACTTCGACACTGAATCAAACAGAGAATAACATTGTAGTCCCCCCTTTGGTAGTCGAGGTGGGGTCGGTGGGGTGCACGAGGGGGAATTATAAACCGAGAACATGGAATTATAATATGAGACGGGGGTATGTGGGGAGGAATTATAATATGCCAATAGGGAAGGCCAGAGGGCATGGTGTGAGCGGTAGGGGGAATTACAATGTACCTTATAATGTTGGCCACTGGAGTCTCACTCAGCCACGAATAATAATGCGATGGTCAGGAGAATACTATAGGTATTATAATGTATCTACATGGACTATTGGACGCCCAGACACGGCTCGCAGCGCAAGCCTGCTACATCTACATACCACAGCACCTGCTTCCCTGCTCTCCTCCTACACACGCCACACGAGAGTACTGGGTGCTGGGTGTTGTGTATTGGGTACCGAGGCGCGTGAAGGCCATCGAACAGACAAATGTACAAACGGACAAACAGTCGAACTTCATTGTTACATATCTGTTTAATTTGTTTATCTGTTGCTTTCGTCATTTACTCGTCCGTTTATCCATTCGCACCCGTGTATCCGACCAGTGTTCTCCATACCTGTACCCCCATACCTTTACCCCAATGGCGACTGGCCCCTGCAAATTGGGTATACCATCGTACCGAATCCAAGCGCTTCACCACTAACTTCGCACAATTTTTCCGATCCTTCGAACCATGAGCGTGTAACATAGTCTATGTAGGGCGGTCTACATGTGTCCCGCTGAGCGAGTTTTTCTCACAGCGCGACATTCGGAACCGTAGGCCAAGAGGCCAGTGTATTTTTCTGGCTGCGTGCCCATACTACTGTTTGCTATCGTTATCCTTCGACGGTTTCGGAGTTTTATCTTGATTGAACTCGATAGTGGCCACTCGACTCCCTAACGATGCGCTACCCAATCTTGTTCAACCCCTTGGAAGCATTACGAACTTTCGCAATGCACGATCGCATGCTGCTGTCTTGCAAGGCTATGCAGGTACGTGCTGTGTGATTCCATTTGTTGCGGATGCACATTTATTACGGACAAATACGGTCCAAAGGTCGCCCAGACGGAGATCCCAGGCATGTGCCGCTGGCCGAAGCTGATAAGGCGCACGCACGGGCAATACAGCTTGCTACGTTAGTCCCCTTTGACGATATACCCCGTGAGTGGCCCATTGCCTCGTCATTGGCTTTAAGGCTGAACAGACCAGGATCCAACGCGGCAACACTCCAAGAGATCCTAACTAAGTTGGACGGCCTAGAAGACCGGCTCACAGCAAAAGTTGATGCAGTGGAAGTGGCCATCGGACAACGGATTGCTCGTCTGGAGGAGACCGTTCGAGCATCAACCATTGCATCTTTAAGGGTATCTTTTCCCAGTTTTTTCACCAATACTAGGCTCAACCTTTTCTCACAGGCTCTCAATGGTGCTCGAGAGGAAGGCGCTCTCATCCCATACGAGATTATTCCCTTCCCTGATGGGAAGCATCCCACAGATGCAGAGGTAACACCACTCATCGTGGCAAAATACTCTTTCATTCCGATTAACCCCTTTTCTCAGTTTCAGAAACATAATCAGCGTCACCCCTTCCCGCTTTTGCGCAAGATGGCCAACATCGTCCAACTGAACCGGGGTGACCTGCTTCGCTACTTGCAACACTACGGCATTACCCCAGCCAACATGCCAGCGGATGAGCCCGGGAGACACAAGCTGTTGTGCGAAATGATTGGAGTCTCGGTGATCGTGATTAGGCATCATTTTGCTTAAGTTCACTCCATGTAGGTGCGTGTATGATAAAGGTGGTTAAAATAAATGCTACGCCATATCTGAGGTGTCCATGCAATATAAGAGCCTTTGATATGTTGGCTACTTTAGTTCGAAATCAACTTTTTCACCATCTCTTGGTCGTGCGCATGCGTAATCACGCCTCCTCGACGAACGCCGTTAGCCCAATCAAGGGTGTCATTCAGCGTGAGAGGGTATCTCGCCTCGCCATTGCGGCCACTCCAATCGAAGTCGATGATTTGAAGATTCTCCGTGCTTGAGACCAGAACATTGGGTGGTCGTAAATCACCGTGGACCCATCCGTCCCGGCCAAGCGTCTTCAAGGCTTCGTTGAGTAGATCTTGTAGCCTGTCCTTGGGACCCCGGTGCTCGCCGAAAGTCGTACCGCTGACCCAGGCCATAACAACCATCCTGAGCCCACCAAAATCAACGGCGTTGGGGTCATCCGTGCCGTCATAGAGAAGCTCTGGCGCGAGGTTGACTGCATGAAGAACGCGATGAACTTGGCCGCCGTAACGACGGACAAATTTCACGACGATTGAGCGTTGATCGGATAAGGATGTGGTCTTCGCCTTGAAAACGGCCTTCGCAGGGAGCTTCAAAGATGCGGACCTATTGACCAAGATATCCTCGTACACAAATTCGACGGAGTTGCCGCCGCAGGGATAAGATGTCTGGGATGGGAAACAAGCGGAGCGGGGGAAGGATGAAGAATGACCATTTGGTTCAAGGGTGGTGTAATAGTGAATAAGATCGCGGCAGCACGTCTTTAGCGCGAATAGTATGTTCGCAACTTGTAAGAGGCAATCATCGTGTAGGGGATCAAACCCGATGTAGACCATGTCGGTGAGTTGCTGGGCCATTGGTTCAGCACCGAAGAAAGCGCCACCTACGGAGAGCCAGGGCCCAGCAATGGCAAGGGTAAAAACAGGAATTCCTGAAATTGACAGGAGCGGGAGGCGCTAGAAGGGCTGAGCACCGGAAGATAACACGTACACTGGGGACTCTTACCTTCGGATTGACGGCATACTTGCGATAACTCAAACTACTCTGCACGACCGGGCAGCATCCCCCTGCCCCGATTTCATTCTTGAGTTCCCACAGGAGGGAAACTAGCCTCTGGCCTTGAGCGCGGAAGCTCTGCTGGCCATCACTGCAAGAGCGATCCGCGTTTGCGACCGCATCGTCCATGGCGAGGAGCTCCTCCAGGATGGGCTCCAGAGCATGCCGTCGGTCATGCTCCTTTTTATATACCTTCGACGATACAAGGAGAAATTTGTGAACGCTGTTCACAAATGTCTGGGGGATACAGTTGTGCGCTTCTAGCTCCCGCAAGTCCCGCCTAATCAGTTGTAGGAACCGGGCAGACACGGGATGAAAAATAGCAATAGGGGGGCCTCGATTGTAAAAGGGGCGGCCGTTCAACACAGGCCCTTTCTCCTGCTCTGAACCAAAGTTCGTCACTTTCGCGCCATCGGAAGGTGACATGGCCTTCTTTGCGAGATCAAGAGATGTTTGGAAGACTAAAATAGAATGAGAACTGGAAGATAGGTAGATCAAGAAAAACATACGCTTAACAAGCCGAGGAATGTCGGCACCTTCTGAGTCCAGGAGGACTTGAGTCATGAGCTGGTCATCTGCATTCTCAACGCATCAACAGTGTTCAAAGTTGGTGAGACCTGTTTGCGCACCGAAAACAACAAGAGAGACTTGATCAGTTCCCAGCTGCAGTGATTCCAGAGTCACATTGTCGTCGTTATTCAGCTCCACTCCATGGGTGCTTAGGTCACGGGCGATTGTGTCGAGGGCGAGCTTCTTGGAGCGATGAACGGACTGTTTAAGCTGTGAACACAATGAGTAAGTCTTGTGGAAAAGAAGTAATGGAACGACTGACTTGCCATAGATGAAATAGCGGCGACTTCAGCAAGGCCTGGTATTCTGTATGAATGGCCGCACGTAAACGATCCACTCGTACAACGCCATAGGATGGGGAGAGCGCGGAGACTGAAGCTCAACCAATAGACGTATGCTGAGGAAGGCCTGCTACAAAGAAGCGGACGAGATCAGCGTCAATGGACATGTTGCTGCGATTTTGCAAAATCTCGCACAGCGTGCAGGATAACATATTGTTGCTAACATTACATATCCAATATGTGGAGTAAATGTGCAATAATCCTTCAATATAGAGTCGTGTAATATGTGATAAATATTTACTCACAATGAGAGGTTTAAGTCAGTTGAGGATAATACTGCCGTTGCTATCTCATACTCATTACATATTGGTCACACTCGAGATAACTGGGTATGACATGCTTAACTGAGATATTCTTCAGATAGCAACAAAATACTACCGCAGATAATATCTGACCCTGCACCCAGTGTCGCGACGACGAAATCAGAACAGTGGCAGTCCCGTGTGCTTAGTAAGCAGCTAGCTATAAGTCGTTATTCTTCACCGCCCCTTTATCGTACCGCATGTTCCCCTCTCTTACCTTCGGCTCTACTCTTATTCTACCACATGGTCTCTGGCTGCTTTGTCCTTATTTTGGCCCAGTTCTGCTTAAGTATAAATACCACGCATGTATACGATAGAGGGCAGAGTTCCCTGAAAATACAAACGGTTATTCCTTTCACTTCGACGGACAGACTCTACCTTCCCCTATATTCCCTATCTCCGTGTACGTGACCGCTACAACTTAGTGCTCCACGTTACATACTAGCTGCAGCACGCTGACCCTTCATCGTATACACCCCTCCTCTGCTTATGCATCCCCCTTCCCTCCCTGTCCTATACCACACCATCGCTACCGTTGACGTGTCGGCGGTGGATTCGCAGATCCCCTCGACATCGCTAGGCCCTTTGGCGCGTCCGTCGTGAATGGTACCGTTCGAGGGATTCCGGAGCTGGAGAGGCTGTCGACGCTGCCTCCGGGTATGTACGTCTACGTACCTAATCGTTTCGTTTACTTCTTCGTTCGGTCCGAGTACTCGAACATGAGTTGCTGCGGACACAAGGCTCCTTATGTACCCATTTACTTAGTTATACATGCATACCTCGCAGTTAGTATTACCTACCTACTAGTATATATAGTACATACACTCTAGCTACAGAACAAGAAGTTTAGTCTCCCCCTCAGTTGTGTTGCGAAGTCGAGTCCAGCAGTCGCACGCGGCGGGCTCGTAGAAATCAGGCGAGTCAATTGTGAGCGACACGCCACCAAGGAACAGCATACCGGCCTCTAGGGCGTCGCCGCTGGATTCGGATCCGGACTCGGTCGTATCATCATCGCATTCCGCCACTTCGTCGCTGGTGGTGGAATCAGGATCGTTCTGGGCTACACGGAGCTCTTTCGCCGGCACATCTGCATGTCGAGCCGCTTGCTCGTTCTGCCTGCAATCTCCGAAACGGTGGCCTCTCTTGCGACACACGAAGCAACGGCCTTCGGCCATGAGTCGTTGGCGTTCAAACTGGGATAGTTCAGGTCTCGCAGGGCCGCCATTTCCATCCGACGGTCCTGGTTCGTTCTGGGAGTCATTCCAATGGCGAGGGAGATCAATGGATTTTCGGAGGCGTGGATCACCTTCATCTTCGCTGGATGGACATGTAGAATCCATAACAGAGGCAGTGTAAGGGCAACCTCAAGATGGCCGCACAGCGCAAGCCTAGCAGAGGGAGAATCCAAAGAGATGAATAAGACTAACTACAATACATGAGAGAGCTGCTCACCTAGCAGAGGGAGAATCCAAAGAGAACAGGATGGGGATTCTCCATGCTAGGAAGCGAAGTATATACTGTAGTAGCGTGAGAGGAATGAAGGGTAACTGTACAGTACACCAGCCACAGGTACGAACGAATATCACAAGGTACGAGGGGGCATGTGATAATGAAGTGGAAGGGGAATGTACAGGAGTCGTGCCGGCGACCTGGAGAAGTGGGAATAAGGGATAACGAAGTGGGAGAAAAGGATGGAGGTAGCCCGGACGAGTCCCGAAGTGTATCTACAAGTCCGAGCATATCCGAAGCGTCTGAGCGAGTCCGAGGCGAGTCCGAAGCGCGGGAAGACTTCGGAGTCACCGGACAGGGCTCGGATGCGAAGGGAGTGAACGGAAGGGAAGCGGGGAGGTAAGGGGACGAAAGGAAAGGAAAGGGAATGAAAGAAAGAGGAAAGGGACGAGGAGGAAGGGGACGGGACAGGGGAAAAAGGAGAGAATAGGAGTGTCCCCTTACATCACCCCCCCTTCAAGGTTGCGGCGACCCGACGCGAAGATTCCTGCCTGCCGCGCCATGAATTCACCAACCCGGAGACCCCGGACTGCTGCGAGAAGATGTCGAAATATGACTGCACGGAGCCCGGAGCCTTCCGACTACGCCAACGCTCCCAGGACTGGTCCAGTGCTGCAGGAGTCATCCGGAGAGGTAGAGCAGTTGTCGGATTCGTCGGACCCGTCCGGAGTACGCGTACTGCATCCGGATGACGATCATGGAAGTCCTTGACCTTCCGGGCAGCATGCTGGAGGTTGCTCGCGGGCTCCCAGGAGTCGTGCTCGATACCATAGCCTCGCCAGCGCACCAGGTACTTCAGGACCCGACCGAACCGTCTGCTATTCCGGACCTCTTCTACCTCATGCTCCTCTTCTCCGTCAACGAGCTGCGGGGGTGGCGGAGCGACAGGGCGTCTACCCGGAATGGGGTCCAGAACGAAGGGGGAGAGTTTGACCACCAGGAAGACGGGATGGAGACGGGATAAGCCCGGGGGGAGCTGGAGTCGGTACGCTGCCTTGCCAACCTTCCGGACGACCTTGTAAGGACCGAGTCGTGCGTGTCCGAGTTTCCGAGAGGGTCGGGCAAGGTTGATGTCCGACGAGTCCAGCCAGACCTTGTCACCCGGTTGGTACTCCGGAGCAGGAGTCCGACGCTGATCGTAGTAGCGCTTCATGTCGTCCTGAGCCTTGACCAATGCGGAATGAGCCTGTTCGACTGCGGACTTCATCCGGTCTACGAACTCGACTGCGGACTCCATCCGAGACGGTGGTTGGTGAGGTTCGAACCCGAGACGAGGATGACGGCCGGTATCCAGGAGGAAGGGTGACTGCTGAGTGGACGCATGGACCCGGTTGTTGTACGCAAACTCCGCCATAGGTAGGAGGCGAGCCCAGTCATCCTGACGCTCTCCGACAAAGATCCGGAGATAGGACTCAAGTTCCTGGTTGGTCCGTTCCGTCTGTCCGTCGGACTGAGGATGGTACGCAGTGGAGGCAGCCAGCTTGATTCCGAGCATCCGGTAGACTTCCCGGGTGAACTCTGCAACGAACTGCAGACCCCGGTCGGACACAACGGACCAAGGGAGTCCGTGCAGCTTCCAGACGTTCTGCAGGTACAAGTTCGCGGATCCGAGGGCAGACACTGTGGTGTGAGTGGGAATGAAGTGGGCACGTTTGCTTACGGAGTCGACCACGTTCATGACAGCATCAAACCCGTCGGACTCCGGAAGCTCGACGATGAAGTCGACACTCAGACGATCCCAGCGTTCATCCGGAATGGGAAGCGGATGGAGTTCACCCATGGGCGGATGCCTTTGGGCCTTCATCCGGAGACAGAGGTCGCAATGGCGGGTGTAGGATCCGACGTACCGGGACATGTTGGGCCACCAGTAGCTGCGCGAAACGAGCTCGAGGGTCTTCCACCTGCCGGCGTGTCCTGCGACCTTGGTGTCGTGGTGCTGAGCTACAATGGTCCGACGCAAGTCCGGTGAGTCCGGAACGTAGATCTTACCCCGGAACATCAGGAGTCCGTCCGATTGAGACCATTCCGCGCTCCGGACTGTCTTGCGACTGCCCTGGGTCTTCTTCAACTCCTCTGCCGCCCTTGCCACTGCATCTTCAAACTTCGCATTCCGCACTCCAGTCCGGATAGCCGTGAGGATATCCTTCTCCTCCCCTTCAAGAGTGACACCCGTGGCACGGACGGCAAAGTAGGACGGCTTAAGTAAAACCACATCCTTGTTGTCATCCTTACCATCCAAGTGATCCGAGCGGCGCGAGAGAGCATCCGGCTTACCCATTGTCCGACCCGGACGGTGCTGGAGAGTGAAGTCAAAGCGGGAGAGGTATAGCGACCAGCGGGCTTGACAACGATTGAGCTTCTGGGCCTTGATGAAGTACTCCAGGTTTTTGTGGTCCGTCCAGATCTCAAACGGAGTCTCTGCGCCTTCCAGGTAGTGCCGCCATTCTTCGAGTGCCCGGATGATTGAAAGCATCTCCTTGTCGTGTATTTCGTAGTTCCGCTCCGCAGCCTGTAGACTTTTAGAGTAGAATGCGACAGGATGCCATTTACCATCATCCGGATCCAGTTGCGACAAGACTGCACCCGTAGCGTAATCCGACGAGTCCGCTTCAACCCGGTACGGCCGATCCTCCTTCGGAAAGACCAGAACGGGCTCCGAAGTGATCAGCTCCTTGATCCGAAGAAACGCGGATTGAGCGGAGTCGTTCCACTGCCATTCCTTCGCGCAAGTGAGGTCGAAGAGAGGCCGAGCGATATGCGAGTAGTCCTTGATGAAGCGGCGGTAGAAATTGACGAACCCGAGGAAGGATTGGAGTTCAGTCCGAGTCCGAGGGGTCGGCCAGTCCGCGACTCCGGAAACCTTCACCGGATCCATCTCGATCTTACCCTCGGAGATGACGACTCCGAGATACTCCACCTTGGTCTGCTCGAATTCGCACTTGTCTGCTCGGAGGAAGAGCTTGTTCCGCTGGAGGATCTCCAGGACCCGCTTGAGAACCCGACGATGCTCTTCGCGCGTTTTGGTGTAGATAAGAATGTCATCCAGGTAGATAATGACCACACCTTCCGTAATGAGCTCCCGGAAGAGGTCGTTCATCATGGTCTGGAAGGTAGACGGGCTATTCGTCAGTCCGAAGAACATTACCAACGGCTCGAAGAGTCCGCGCGTAGTCCGGAACGCGGCCTTCCACTCGTCGCCCTCCTTGATCCGGACGTTGTTGAAGCCCCACCGGACGTCGAGCTTGGAGAAGTAGCGAGCGTTCCGGAGTTTATCCACCAAGTCCGAGATGAGCGGGAGCGGCTACCGATTCTTGACCATCATGCTGTTGAGCTTCCGGTAGTCCTGGACCAAGCGGAGCAATCCGTCCTTCTTCTTAACAAAGAACACCGGGGCGGCCATGGGCGACTTGCTGGGGCGGATCCGACCAGTCCGGAGGTTTTCTTCCAGAAACTCGTCCAGCTGTTTCTGCTCCGCGGGGGACAGCAGGTAGCACTTGGTAGAGGTCGGTTCCGCTCTGTCCACTAGCTCAATGGTGTGGTCCCACAGACGCGGCATGGGCAGTTCATCAAAGGACTCCTTGGCAAAGACATCCTCAAATTCTTGGAGGAAGTCCGGGACTGCGCTGTTCCGAGGATCGTGGGGCTTGTTGCGCTGGAAAGCCAATGCGAGGCGTTGCGAGACCGTTTCCGAAGCTCGGACGTGCTCTTCCCGAAGACTCCGAAGGTACTCCGGAGTCGGAGGAGGAACGGCTGCGAAGATACGGTCGCCCTTCTCAAGTCCGGAGTCGTCCGGAGTTGTGGCCTCATCGTCCTCGTCGTCGTCCTCGCAGTCCTGAAGCTGCGGGAGGTCGTCCGAGTGCAGTTCCTCAACCATTGGCATCGGACCCGTACGACACTCCCGGAGTCGTACGGACTCCTTGCGTCGGGTCAGCTTGTCATGGCGGAACTCCTTCCGACAGGTATCGCATCCGGACGGACAGCGGCTCATGGTCACCTCCTTCGTCTGCCAGTCGATCTCGGGGTTGTGCTTCCGGAGCCAGGTGTATCCGAGAATGATGTCCTGGCATCCGATGTTAGTGACCGCGAAAAGCATCTGTTCCGTATGATCCTTGAACCGGAGTACAAGGTCCACGACTTCGGAGATGGACCCGTTTTCGTTTGGTGATCCGTCGACATTGAAGACCGGGATCGGAGCGGACAGCTTGCGCCGGGTGAAACCATGAGCATCCGCAAAGCGCGGATGCATAAAGACTCCGGTGGCTCCGCAGTCCACCAGGGCCTGCAGGGTGCATCGGTGTTGTGTATCCGTGCTCTGCACTTCAACGGGTATATCTAGCGAAAGCTTACCGGGCAGCGCGGAGATCTTATAGCTACTGGGTAGCCGCCGTTCCCACTGCGGGCGAAACCTTCGGAGTGTGCGGATTGTAACCGGAGTCGTTTGCTTAGCGTCGGACGAATCATCGGAGTGATTGGAATCGTCTATTTCGTCTACGCTAAGACAAGCAAATCGGTTATTCACCAACGAGGTCGCACTGACCACTCGTTGGTCCGGACAAAATCCGCCGTGTCCAATTCCTCAACCGGGGCCGTTCCCTCATCGTCTATTCCTTCCGAGGTCCCTGCACTTTCTACAGCATCGGCCGTGGTCAGGAGATCTTCGATGGCGGACATCCGCTCCTCGGTGGTCATGAACCGGATGTCGTACCGGAGTGGGCACTCGCGGGACATGTGACCGGGTTTGCCACATCGGTAGCAGAGCTGCGAAGTGGCGGGCCGGGAGCGGGTGTGGTCGACGTCCATGGGGACGCTGGGTGAGAGAGCCTTCGGAGGAGGCAGAGGTTGGAAGCGGGGTTGCAGAGGCGGGAGGGGAGTCCGAGGCGCGGGGAGTACACCCGCAGGAGTCCGAGCGACTCCGGAGTTGGCTGCTGGTCGGACGAGGGATCCGGAGTGTCCGGAGTTTCCGGAGTGCACGCCGAAGTGGAAGGACTGGTTGGCAGCACGGTTGTCAGCAACCCGCTGCGCTGCCTTGTACCATCCTTCGAAGTCATCCTCGTCCAGACAGTCTGCGGACTCGGCAACGCGGCTCTGGATGATGGAGTCCAGTCCGCGACGGAACTTCATCGTGATGTTGGAGCCCTCGGAGTATCCGGATTGATCTACAAGGTCCCGGAACTCGTCGAGGTACTCCTGGAAAGTCCGACGCCCTTGGTGGTACCGGGTGGACTCCAGCTTGAGCATGGCGGCTTCGCGTTCCCGATCCGGAAGGAAGCAAGTCCGGAATTCGGTCGCGAAGGCGGCCCAGGATTCGAAGTACGGATCCTTCGGACTCCGGAGCACCATGTCCGCTGTCATACTCCAAATTGGGATTTGTAGTAAGTGACATGAATATTAGAGTTTTGTAGCTATTTCATACACTACTATAAAACCAAGGCATACACTCGCAAATTGAGTCAAGTCAAACGGACCTCATATAACGATCATAGACATTATTTCCTACTTTCCCCTATTTACTCCTGGGACCCCTAATTAATATTCCAACATCCTAGTAAGTCAACAAGTCTTAAATCACTATGTTACATGACAAGTAAAGATTGCGGAAATGACAAGAACTGTACGGAAAGTTGAAGCACTTTACGGAACCTTCTAGTATTTTGCAAATACTTATCAAAGTGACATTAGATCTTGTTCATGAAAAGCTCAAATAACTTGAAAGACATACAAGAACATAGTAGAATGTCTGAGAAGTTTATAGAACTTTCCAGGATGTAACGGAAAACTGTACTTACTAAGCAGCAAGTCTTAACTTACTAAGCTTTGGCTTGGCCATTACAAATCATTGGCTTACTCCTGCTGAAATATGAGTCATTCAGAGATTCAGCACAGCCTTGAAATGCTTGGCATTGCACTGCCTCCTTTCCTCTGTAGTCTATATAAACCCCAAATTGTAGTAGATAGAAAAAGAGACTTTTTACCATCTTTCTTTCTCCTGCCCTCATTTCTCATCCTCTTCCCTCCTTTTCTTTTGCAGTACCTACTTCTTATTAAGTAGAGTATTACTGTAGGTTACATAGTAAAGAATAGACTTGATTAGTTGATAATTGAGTGCTTCGACCTGTGAAACCCCTGCTAGAGAAATAAGATTACGTGTCTTGTGTACACCTAAGTCTTTATACTTTAGTGATTGCTCCCCAGTCGTATTGAATTCGTATAGACCGTTGCTGGCTAAGCATTAGACTATAGAACGATTCTATAGGTGTTTAGTAATAATATCGGAAGTGATCTAGCAGAAACGTCTGATCTAGAGCTTCATATTTCAGTTGAATTGTCGTATCGCAGTTTGTATTATTGGAGCATTACTAGTATACTCAGTCAGGAATATTCCTCCATCTCAGTGCTACTTGTCTCAGTCAGTTTACTATTTGTTTGTGTTTACCTACGTATTATTCACTTGTTGAGTAGTTCGTACTAACGTGTTGTGAAGTGTTTTACTTTACACTTCTTTCTTTCCTTCCAACCTTCTACCCCTTTCCACTCCTATTTCCCCTATCTGTACTACTCGGTAGTATAGTTTCCAAAGCCATTATTATCAATAACACACCTCTCAGCCTGCACAACTTGGGTGACTGTTTGATCTATCTTGACTGATCCAACTACATCCAAAGCATTTAGTGAAAACCCCACTGAGTGTGACAAGAATTTGGTGACCACCGCAGGACAGAGGATTACCTTCGTTAATCTTGGCTTCATCATTTCATTCCATATCGACATTCAAAGACATTACTATGTCATCCAACCCCGTTCCTTCAACATCCGCCAATCCTTTTAACTTCCCTACCCCCCATCAGAATATCGATTTCTCTCAAATGAGAGAACCAACTCGAACCATTGATTCCTCACCGGAATCCAACTTTACAGAACTATCTGATATTAGTTTACACCGTGATGAACCTCCCCATTTACGTCATGATTATGCCAAAGGCAGATCGCCAGACATGATGCCTGGTCCAGGAGAGAAAGCTGCTCCTACACGTTTTAAAGGAGATTTCGATTTGGTCAAACAGTTTATCAGAAAGTATAACCGTCTCTGTGCAGCCTATAATCTAGTTGATCCACAAGAAAAGTGCGAGCGACTTGTTGATTATTGTAGTAGATCTGTGAGATTATTCATAGAGTCACTACCTAGTTATCAACGTGGACAATGGGCACAATTAGAGAAGGATGTACTTAAATACTATGATGCAGATCTTGATGAGACTAGATATATACCAGACCAGTTAGCAGAACTAGCTGAAGAATGGCAACATATTAAAATCACTGATCTAGCAACATGGAAAGAATACCAATGTGAATTCCTTACTAAAGCCGGTTGGCTTAGGTCCAAAGATAAAGTTACCAAAGAAATGGAAGCTGGATATTTTTGGCAAGGGATACATCGTAAATTTAGACAAGATATAGAAATACGGTTATTTGCCACCAATCCGACTCTGACTCCTAAGAGAGCTTACCCTATTGATTTAGTATCTAGTATAGCTGAAGGCTTGCTTGAACGAAATCGGTTTGAGTATAGTCTTATGGGAGTTAATACTGAGAGACCAGATTGGTATACGCAGACAGATTCTGATGATTCTGATGATGACTCTACAGATAGCGATCGTCGCCGTAAATCTAAAAGACATAGAGAACACCGTAAATCTTGTTCTAGGTCATCTAGAAAAGATGATAGTGACTCTGAAGTAGAAAATAAGAAGAAGAATAGATCTTCTAGGTCCAGGAAAAATGGTCGACATTCTAAATCCTACAAAGACACTGAAAGTCAGGAGGAAGTAGAACAGCTTATTACTCAAATGAGTAAAATGGATATTTCAGATCCTGGATATGCTGTAGTCTACTATAAGGCTATTAAATTGGATCCTATGGTTGTTGATATTATAAGTCCGCCAGGCTTTAATCATCCGCCATCTAGAAGACCACACACTAGAGTTTCATTTGCAGATCAGCCTCAAAGTTTTAATTATTCTGCACCGCGTCCGCCTACTCCAGTTAACGTAAGACCCCCTACTCTTACAGGAGGAAATGCTGAGCCTATGAAGTGCTACGTATGCGGAGAGCTTGGGCACACTATTAGAGGATGTCCCAAGGCTACTGAGTTATTCAGAGCAGGTACAATAATTAGAAACGGAAATGGTAAAATCGCGCTAAGAGATGGAACAGTCCTTTCTTTTGGACCTCACGATCCTCTTGTGGATGTCTTAAAAAGACGTCAGCAGCCGTTACAGTCACACTTTGTAGCATTAGACTCTGAAGAATATGTGTCAGAAGACTGTATGGATGATTACGATTTTGATGAATCCTACCCAGTCCAATCTTCAGCTGTTTATCCTGCACAAAGAGTGGAGAAAAAGACTACCTCTACTAGACGTCAGTCTATTGAAGAACCTACGGCCTCACCACATGTGAATAAGGACAATACACCTTATATGAATACTCGATCAAGACCGCCAAGTATCAATCAGTCAAGGACACAGACAACATTTCGGCCAGCAAATTTACCTGTAGTCAAGCCTATTGATGTCAGGACACCTCGTGTACGCCCAACCGCTAATGAGGACACTGTCATGAAGGATCTGACTCAGACGGAAAGCTCACCAACAGTATTGAAACCGGCACCTCAGGATTCCCCACGACAGAAAACACAGCCCCGGCAATCAGAGTTATCTCTTCAGACAGATATACAGAAAATGATACGGGAAGTACTAGATATAACAGTCCATGTTCCTCTTAGTAAGTTACTGGGAGCATCAAAGGAACTCTCAGATGCGTTTTCGGAACAGCTGAAAAGAAGGAATCCTAAATCGGGAACCGGATCTAACCTGGTAACACCGCCGATGGAAAATCTCCCAAATCAGGAGCTAAGCGGAAGCAAACCTAAAATATCACCAATTAGGAATCAAGCCCGGCCATCAATAACTCAAAACTCTAAAATTCATCTTATAGGATCTAGTACCTCGGTTGCGCCGCCATCTTTACCTGTTCAGGTACACTTACAGAATAGTAATGCTACCGCCGCCGGTAACTTAATCTACACTCAATGGAGTTGTGATGGTAGTACTATACCAATAGAATCAATTATAGATACGGGATCACAGCTTAATATCATAAACGCTGACCTCGTACCTGATTTTATTAGATCACCCATTGAACCAGACACAGTAAGACAAATTATTGTGGCTAGTAGTGGTGCAAAAGAACTTAAAGGACTTATCCGTGGAGTTCGCTTACGGAACGGTGATATAGAAACTATTGCAGACTTCTATATTGGTGAAAATGTACCATTCCAAGCATTATTAGGCAGACCGTGGCAAGTAGAGAATCAAGTTAGCATTGAACAAAGAGAAACAGGAGCCTACCTAGTTTTCCAACACAGGGGAGACCTGGTAGAAAGTTAGAATTGCCAACAGCAACTCGTCCAGCACGCATAGAGACTTCATTGCTAGCCTCGATGACCCCTTTCCCCTATCAGGAGGACCCCTATAACTCGTTTTTCGATTCTGACACAGAATCTGAGGCTGAGGATAATCTAGAAAATTCTGAGACTCTTCCAGAGGCATATACACTCAATGTCCAGGCTTATGACGATGATTCTGGAAAGATAGACCGTCCTCTAACCTCAGAAAACCAAGACAACAATGATATTAGGTATAGTAACAACCATCGACTTCTGTATCCCTCACAAAACTACTCCGATAGTATGGAAGTAGACCTGGAGAATTGTAGACCGCATGGTACGCCCCAGAAGTGGGAAATTTCACTTAAAGAATCAGTGGAATTATTCCATAAGGTAGTATTATGGTGTAATCCAGTTCTAGTTTTAATTTTAACCGTTGCTTTCGCAATACCAAGCCTCCCGCAGCTAGTATATGCTATTGCGCGACTACTCACGAAGCTTCTAGAATTTATAGGCAATTATTTTGTATATATACAAGGCAGAAACAGCAAGATCTCCTCATTCTACACCTCGCATTCTAAGCCATCTCATAAATCTCGCACCACATCTTCTTTTGATCAAATCGGCATGCCAGATCTACCGGTTGTCTTGTACACCGGGTCGCTTCACGCTGTCCCCGGCCACGAGGACTACCCCATGATCGACCCCACGATTGACACACCGTCTTCTGAGGCTCTCACACGTCTTGCAGCCACGATTACTGATTGGCCGCCCACCCCGAGTCATCTCGTCCGTTACTGGAACCCTAGCAGTCTTCCCAGCATGCACATTATCATGCGCAACTCATCGACGAAGCTGCTCAAGCATACACCAATCGACCTTTGGACGATCGCGTAATTTCGATCATGTCGTCGAACAACACGATCGAACTATCCAGTATGGGCATGGACTCCCTCCTGGTTCAACAGGGAGTGATGCTGAACGCATCCATTGTCTCCCAGACACTTCGAAACGAATATCGAGCTCCCATTCAACGTGGTCATTTATTCTATACATTTGTTACACCTCGTATGGAGCACCCCTCCGAAGGAGTCCAGCACGCCGCTAACCCCGTTGCCACTCGTCTCGGAATTGGCAGCCCTCGTTTACGCGTTCCCCGACCCATTATCATTGAAGATTCTGACGACGACGAAGTACCTGATAGTCAAGAAGAAATAAATCTCAGTCAGTGGCCTATCTTTGACATACCTGTAGACCATTTAATTCGTGGTGAACTACCAGATTACGCGGCTATTCTGTCGAAGAAGAATGATAAGCAGGACGATAATAACGATGGGGCTTCCATAGCCGACTCTACCGCCGCTGTATATTCGCCTACGCGTCCTGGAAGTCGACGAGACTCTACTAGCAGTGATATGAGTATTGAACTTGACGATGACCCTCGAGAACCACGAATACACGACGCACGGCCGCCCACTGCAATTGAGGAACATTTCCTCAACTCCATCTTCAGTACTTCGACCATTGCATCTCAACCATTTGGCCTTCCTCTCTCCGCATCTCAGTACGCTGAACCAGTCGTCACGCCTGTCAACGTCGACTCCACCCACTCCCTACCTAGTCTAGAAAGTGTTGAACACTTAGAAGAATCGGATAGTAGCCAAGTTAGCACCAGTCCGTTCAATCTTCCGCCGAAACGACTTCAGGAAATTCAAGAGCGAGCCTATAGCTTCTTAGGCAGGAAGATCACCCCCTCGCACGAAATTGAACCGACGACAAACACTACTGTCAACCCAGCACTTATCAGCCAACCCTCGCCGCGTAACCTCATTAAAGTAAATAGAACGGATAAGGATTACGACCCCAAGGACTGTCTTCACCCCCCACATGGCTCACTTGTATGTCTACGACACAACCTCACGCACGCGCAACACTACGCCTTGCAAGAAAGCAGACTTACACTCAATGAGGTCGACAACATGAACGAGTACGAACTGGACGAATATCTACGTACGCTGAACATGGAAACGCCGTCGCAACCTCAAGAACAACCTCCTCCGTTACCTCGACTTACTGAGGAAGAACTCAACTCAGAAACACTAGGCTCGCAGTCGAGCATGATGTCGCCTGACATCGCTCCTGCACAATCTGGCAACGAACACACTCAAACAACGAATACGACCGTACAAACCGATGAACCGGTCAAAGTAATGACTCTGTTTCTCAACCACAACGTCCCTCGCATTGTAGTCAACGAATTTCGTGATTCAAAAGCCTTACCTCGACTACATGACCTCTACAATCACGACAACGATTCGACATCATCTAGCTCTTTCGAACTTATCCTTCACCCTCCAACCGAAGCTGCACTACGAGGAACACAGATTGCTGACGGAACCTACCGTACTTCGACTCCATACCCAACCCCAGAACGCGAACTTGAGCCGACGAAATCTAACACAGACTGGACGAACCTCAAGTACCCTGCATTCCTTACCAAGACGGCCGACGACTCAGAGAACGATAAGTCGAGCCAGGATTACATGTCCATGGAAGAGTCTGACTATAGTCCGGATGCTGTAGACTCCCCGCCATCGTCAACGGACCCTCAGACGAATCTCAGGAGGACGCTACCGTGAAAGACGACGAATCTATCATCCTTCTTCACCCACCTATCCAAGTTCAAGCTCGACTCCATGAAACGTTTGATACGCCCATCATCGATTACCATCATCCCCCGAACCTTCCTCCCAATCGTAACATCATTCCTACCAGTATATTCGCCACTACGCAGCAAATATATCCAGGCGAGTTAATGTATGAATTGGCCACGGATGCGCCTGACCCTTGGGATTATAATGGCGCCGAAACTACTGTGATTCGTCGCATGAGCAACCCGCCCTCGTACACGAAAGAACAGGCGAAATATACGGCTGAACCACCAGAAAACCATCCGTATTGGCTTGACAACCACGCCGACTTCAAACGAATACGCACTACGGTCAAATATCAAGGAACTTACGATAACCATCCACTACGCAACTGGCATAACCGGTTCGACACACCTACCGACTACCATGATTACTGGAAGGATGACGGCGATACTGATATTGCGCAGTACGTCGTGGATATCTGCGAAGCATCCAGGCAAGGAATCCTACTCCCAGAAGCCTGGCACGATATCGACGGACCACCAGAGTATATTGTGAAAGCCCAGGACGCCGTTAGACACATTTATAGGAACTTACGAGGACACCTCCACGAACTGGACGAATGCGAACTCTGTAGCGCTAATCACAACGAAGAACCGCTTGAATCCGTTGAAGGAAATCGACTTCTATTCTTCAATGTCAACGTCCTACCAAAGAACTATGGGCAACTTGCGCCTTACGACTACTACGTCAAGCACTACAAGAATCCTTGGGCCTCCGATAACCACGTCGTCGCTTTTAATCCATGGAACGTCAAGATAATCTATTTGCGACGGATTCGCATCGATATCTTACAGTTCTTTCGCGAACTTATCTACTACGTCTTCACTCCGGAATTTCGACGCTTCATCGACAGCCCGCAAGCACCCAGTGATATGCGACACTACTTCTACCATCATTGCGCCTTCTTTCGATTCTTGGACTACCACATTCCCCTCCTCTTTCAAGGCTTTTCCTGCGAATGTATTCACCCTGAAGTCGGATCGTCACATACTTGGACCGAACGGCAGCCTAATCCACCTCGAAACCCACTCCTCACCGCCGAAGAAGACGAATTCCTTCACCATATCAGCGAATACTTCGAATATCAAGAGGTTATTCGAATGGCAAATACCTGTCGTCACCTACGCGAAATCTCTTACTTCCTATCTTCTCATGTCCGCAGCCTCTTCGTTCATGGATACCTTGATCCCGACTACATTTTTGACGGTCAGAATAATCGGCGCGCCATTATGTGGTGCAGAGATTCCCTCGCCGCTTATTGATGTAAGTCGCCATTGTATCATGACTTCGAGACTGTCTCAAGTCCTTTTTTCTCTAGCAACTTGTTTTATTTTGATTTACTTTCCTTCCCTTCTTCCTTACTTCGCATTTCCCTACATATATAAAACCCACACACCAAAGTCCTTTCTCTCTTATATTTCAGACATACCTGGCTCCCTTTTGCATTGTTTCATCTTGCTTTTCTCGTCTATATTACGCTCAGCGTGGACATTTGATTTGAACTATATATATACCTGTACCCATTTCTTTCTCCAAGTTTCTCAAAAGACTCTTTCTTCTCTCCCCTTCTTGCAATCCGTACGAACATTTTGCCTCTTGGGTTACCCTATATATACAGCATGCTACGTACCATGTTGGACTTTTTCTATTCTTTTCCTCTCAGTACTTACCAAATGTTTCAAATCATATTGGACTTGTATTTTTCTGTACTTATTACTGCTTCCCTCTACCATGGCTTTAGATATGACTCCACTATCCTTAGTAGATCATACCACATCCATGTATTCTCACTGGTTGATGTACTCAATAATACTGGTGTTATTGGGTCAATTATTTCGACTTGTCAGACGTAATCTCTTGGATTCTTTTCTTGACTATAACTCAGTGAATGAGGAACTAGATAAAATCATATCACAATGTTCTCTCAAAGATCAGAGAATTCAAAGACTAGACTCTCAGAAATTATCTCAGAATTGTAATTCGGAGATATCCTCGTCATTGGTTGGACTTGCGGTCATTTCCAACTCTACTAAAGATACTTCGCAATTGAAAATTACGACAGATAAAGGTTCCTTCTACAGTATAGATGCAATTGATGATGAGATACAATATATCCACACATTTGCTAATGATATTAACTGGAATGAGGATATCCTATTTCTCCCCACGGAAAGTGATACACCATCTGACTTTGAGTTCAAAGCTTTCACCGCATATAAACGTGTAGCTGAAAAGATTCACCCAGTCTCGGGAGTATATCCTGAAGATGTTAAAGTCATTCGTAGCTTTCCAGAGGACCCACTAGCTTCATTACCTCCTCTTTCAAAACATCCACCGGATTTCGTGCCAGGAAAACGGTTAACTTTGGAAAGATTGAAAGGCATAGAAGTCAACAAAGATAACTTTCTCAGACCAGAAGAGGAAAAGTTATTCAATCATATATTGCAAGTCAACAAAATGTCCCTAGCTTTTGAAGAAACAGATAGAGGAACATTACGCAAAGACTATTTTTCGGATTACATTATGCCCACCGTACCGCACACGCCATGGGAATACAAGAACATTCCTATACCTCCAGGCATTAAAGATAAAGTTGTTGAAATGCTTAGGAGCAAGATAGACGCTGGAGTATATGAACCATGTCAATCATCATATCGGTGTAGATGGTTTTGTGTACTCAAGAAAAATGGATCATTAAGATTGATCCATGATCTTAGGCCCTTGAATGCTGTATCTATTTGTGATGCTGGATTATTACCAATAGTGGATGATTTTGTAGAACCGTACGCAGGATGTGAAGTCTGTACCACATTCGATCTTTATTGGGGATTTGATGCTCGTATCGTAGATGTTACATCTCGTGACATGACAGCATTTTGGACTCCTTTAGGATGATTGAGACTCACAGCCTTACCAATGGGATATACCAATTCGCCTACGGAATTTCAGAAATGCATGATGCATATTCTTCAAGATGAAATACCTCATGTGGCGAATATCTTTATTGATGATTTACCTATTAAGGGACCCAAGACTCAGTATTTGGACTCTAATGGTGAACCAGAAACGTTGCCTGAGAACCCAGGAATTCGTAGATTCATTTGGGAACATGCCCAAGATGTTCATCGGATTATGCACCGAATTAAATGTGCAGGCGCAACATTCTCGGCAAAGAAGACACAGATTTGTAGACAAGAAGTTGTGATAGTAGGACAGAAATGCACACCTCAAGGACGGTGTCCAGATGATGACAGAGTTGCAAAGATCCTTAAGTGGCCTCAACTGACTTCTCCGAAAGAAGTTAGGGGATTCCTTGGGTTATGTGGAACAGTCAGGATATGGATCCAAGATTACTCCGCTATTGCCCGACCATTAACCGAACTCGTGCATAAAGATGCAGTTTTTGAATGGACTGAAAGACGTCAGCAAGCATTTGACATTCTCAAAACTAAAGTCTCATCAGCACCAGCCTTACGTCCTATTGACTATTCCTCAGATAAACCTATTATATTGTCTGTGGACACTAGTTACATCGCAACAGGTTTTATTCTCTCCCAAGAAGATGAATGTAAGGGCAACCTCAAGATGGCCGACAGCGCAGGCCTAGCAGAGGGAGAATCCAAAGATAATGAATAAGGCTAACTACAATACATGAGAGGGCTGCTCACCTAGCAGAGGGAGAATCCAAAGAGAACAGGATAAGGATTCTCCATGCTAGGAAGCGAAGTATATACTGTAGTAGCGTGAGAGGAATGCAGGATAACTGTACAGTACACCAGCCACAAGTCCGAACAAATATCACAAGGTACAAGGAAACATGTGATAATGAAGTGGAGGGTAAATGCACAGGAGTCGTGCCGGCGACTTGGGGAAGTAAGGGCGAAGAGTAATGAAGTGGGGGAAAAGGATAGAGGTAACCCGGACGAGCCCCGAAGAGTATAGATGAGCCCGAGCGAGTCCGAAGTGTCCGAGACGAGTCCGAGCGAGTCCGAAGTGTCCGAAGTGCGGGAAGACTCCGGAGTCACCGGACGCGGCTCGGATGCGAAAGGAGTGGGTGGAAAGGAAGTGGAAAGGAAAGGGAGCGAAAAGGAACGAAGGGGAATGAAGGGAATGTAGGTAAGAGTCCATGGGATGAAGGAAAGGAGAGAAAATAGGAGTGTCCCTTTACATCACCCCCTCTTCAAGGTTGCGGCGACCCGACGCGAAGATTCCTGCCTGCCGCGCCATGAATTCACCAACCCCGAAACTCCGGATTGCTGCGAGAAGATGTCGAAGTACGACTGCGCGGAGCCCGGAGCCTTCCGACTGCGCCAACGCTCCCAGGACTGGTCCAGTGCTGCAGGAGTCATCCGGAGAGGTAGAGCAGTCGTCGGATTCATCGGACTCGTCCGGAGTACGCGTACTGCGTCCGGGTGACGATCATGGAAGTCCTTGACCTTCCGGGCGGCATGCTGGAGGTTGCTCGCGGGCTCCCAGGAGTCGTGCTCGATACCATAGCCTCGCCAGCGCACCAAATACTTCAGGACCCGACCGAAACGTCTGCTATTTCGGACCTCTTCTACCTCATGCTCCTCTTCTCCGTCGACGAGCTGCGGAGGTGGCGGAGCGACAGGGCGTCTACCTGGGATGGGGTCCGGAACGAAGGGAGAGAGTTTGACCACGGGGAAGACAGGATGGAGACGGGATAAGCCCGGAGGGAGCTGGAGCCGGTACGCCGCCTTGCCAACCTTCCGGACGACCTTGTAAGGACCAAGTCGTGCGTGTCCGAGTTTCCGGGAGGGTCGGGCAAGGTTGATGTCCGACGAGTCCAGCCAGACCTTGTCACCCGGTTGGTACTCCGGAGCGGGAGTCCGACGCTGATCGTAGTAGCGCTTCATGTCGTCCTGAGCCTTGACCAACGCGGACTGAGCCTCGTCGACTGCGGATTTCATCCGGTCTACAAACTCGTTTGCGGACTCCATCCGAGACGGTGGCTGATGAGGTTCGAACCCGAGACGAGGATGACGGCCGGTATCCAGGAGGAAGGGTGACTGCTGAGTGGACGCATGGACCCGGTTGTTGTACGCGAACTCCGCCATAGGTAGGAGGCGAGCCCAGTCGTCCTGACGCTCTCCTACGAAGATCCGGAGATAGGACTCGAGTTCCTGGTTGGTCCGTTCCGTCTGTCCGTCGGACTGAGGGTGGTACGCAGTGGAGGCAGCCAGCTTGATTCCGAGCATCCGGTAGACTTCTCGGGTGAACTCTGCGACGAATTGCGGACCCCGGTCGGACACAACGGACCTAGGGAGTCCGTGCAGCTTCCAGACGTTCTGCAGGTACAAGTTTGCGGATCCGAGGGCAGACACTGTGGTGTGAGTCGGAATGAAGTGGGCGCGTTTGCTTACGGAGTCGACCACGTTCATGACAGCATCAAACCCATCGGACTCCGGAAGCTCGACAATGAAGTCGACACTCAGGCGATCCCAGCGTTCATCCGGAATGGGAAGCGGATGAAGTTCACCCATGGGCGGATGCCTTTGGGCCTTCGTCCGGAGACAGAGGTCGCAATGGCGGGTGTAGGATCCGACGTACCGGGACATGTTGGGCCACCAGTAGCTGCGCGAAACAAGCTCCAGGGTCTTCCATCTGCCGGCGTGTCCTGTGACCTTGGTGTCGTGGTGCTGAGCTACAATAGTCCGACGCAAATCCGGTGAGTCCGGAACGTAGATCTTACCCCGGAACATCAGGAGTCCGTCCGATTGAGACCATTCCGCGCTCCGGACTGTCTTGCGACTGCCCTGGGTCTTCTTCAGCTCCTCCGCCGCCTTTGCCACTGCATCTTCAAACTTCGCATTCCGCACTCCAGTCCGGATAGCCGTGAGGATATCCTTCTCCTCCCCTTCAAGAGTGACACCCGTGGCACGGACAGCAAAGTAGGAAGGCTTGAGCATCACCACATCCTTGTTGTCATCCTTACCATCCGAATGATCTGAGCGTCGCGAGAGAGCGTCCGGTTTACCCATAGTCCGACCCGGACGATGCTGGAGAGTGAAGTCGAAGCGGGAGAGGTATAGTGACCAGCGGGCTTGACGGCGGTTGAGCTTCTGGGCCTTGATGAAGTACTCCAGGTTCTTGTGGTCCGTCCAGATCTCAAACGGAGTCTCTGCGCCTTCAAGGTAGTGCCGCCATTCTTCGAGCGCCCGGATGATTGAAAGCATCTCCTTGTCGTGTATTTCGTAGTTCCGCTCCGCAGCCTGTAGACTTTTAGAGTAGAATGCGACAG